AGGCCGTGGACAGAATTATACGTAAAATGTATCAGAAGATGCTATTGTTCAGTTTATTAAGAATGATCAAAGATCCAAAAAGGATTCTCACTCACATATTAATATTGGAACAAAAATAAATGCTTATTTAAAAAAATATTTTTATTGAGTTTATTTCAGACAGAAAGGGAGAGGGATGTGAGAGAATCATTGATTGGCTGCCTCTTGTACACCCCACACTGGGGATCGAGCCTATAACCCGGGCATATGCCCTGACTGGGAATCAAATGCTGTGACCTTCAGGTTCATAAGTCAATGCTCAACCACTGAGCCACACTGGCTGGACAAGAAATGCTTATTTTTGAAGGTATCTCTAGCACCTGTGGACGTACAAGGCTCAAGTGAAAATCTGAACAATCTATGTAGTCATCAAATTAGGAGAAGAAGCTAAATACATGTGACTGGGAAGAAAGAAAAGAGGAAAGCACCATGCCAGGCATAGATATAGTGTCAGACATGTAAGTAATTAGTAGGTATTTTTGTACTTCTTTCACATTCAGAAACTGAGGTTCAAAGAGGCTAAGCAAAGGTCTTTAAAATGTTTCTCACTGTGGAAGGTGGTTCTGCAATTCTAACCCATGTCTATGTAACCTCAGTTGCAATACCCTGCATCTCCAGCAGAAGGTAAGGTTTGGGTGCCTTCCTCACTTAACAGGCACTCACTCTATCTCATGCAACCAGACTCCGGTTAAGATGTGTCATATTCCTTCTCAGTTATATTATTATATGCTAGTGGCCTGGTGCACTAAATCTGTGCATGGGGGAGGTGTCCCTAACCCTGCCTGTACCCTCTCCAATCTGGGACCCCTAGGGGGATATCCAACTGCCTGTTTAGGCCCAACCTCACTGGGGTCGGACAAAACTGGCAGTCAGACAAAACCAACAGTCAGACAAAAACGGCAGTTGGACATCCCTCTCAAAATCTGGCTCCTAACTGCTCACCTGCCTGCCTGATCACCCCTAACCACTGTGCCTGCCAGCCTGATTAAGCCCAATTTCCCCCCTGTCGGCCTGCTTGTCCCCAATTGCCCCCCTTTGCCAGTCAGCTCTTCCCAACTGCCCCTCCTTGCTGGCCTGCTCACCCCCAGCTGCCCTCCCTTGTCAGCCTTATCATCCCTAACCACCTTTGTCTCGGCCTCACCCCATGGCTTTGTCCCAAAGAATGTCTGGAAGGTCTCCCTGTCTAATTAGCATGTTACCCTTTTATTAGTATAGATTTTCTTTGGCACTTACATTTCTGTGATTAACATTGGGAACCAAACCTACTCAATGAACTTTTTTTTTTCTTCATGCTCATGAGTCACAAATATCATGATTTTGGACAGGAAAAACCTAATGGGGTAGTTCGGGTTTTTGTGGTTTGATCAGTCATACTTCTCACTATACATGCATTTTAAATATCTGACAAATTTGTGGTGACTTTTAAGTTGAAAGATTAAAGATTATGTAGATTAAGAACTTTGATTGAATTTGTTTAAAGTCTGTAATGCCAGAAAAGATACCATTTGCAATTTAACTATAAGGAAATTATCTTTCTTTTTATTAACTTATATTCTTAAATTTAAATATTCATATCACAGAAAGATAACATGCAGAAAGATGATAAATTTTTACTGATCATGACATTGGTCTTACTAATGTCATACTCTGAGCTCTTCTTATTGGTAGTGACCTTATGCTTTATTACCCATGTTCATCTCTCATTCTCAACCTTTTGTATCTGTCAGAAATCCTGAATAGCCACTCCACGTCATTCAGGATATATGTAAGAAGGTTCTCAAACACTGCTAAAAGGACTGTCACAAAGTTCTCAGAACAAACTCCTCTTACTTTAAACTCCGAAAAGAGGCATTCTTGTGTTTTGGTATGTTTTTCATGTAGATATTATTAAATCTTAAATATTGTACAAATTTAGTAGTCTTAAAAACTGAAATTCCCAAATCAACTTATAACAAAAGGCCAAGTGGTGGAACTGGGCAGCCTCAGTGACTACCTCTGAATAAGAAAGAAAAGACCTACAATGACATACAGCCTGATATGTTCATTGATCTTCATGGTGGTGACCTTAAGTTTTGAGGAGACTAAAAATTATATTTTATGCCTGCTATTTTATAAAGCATGGAGGCATGTAATCATTTTTAGGAAGGTTTTCCAACAAAAAGATGTTCAAAAGTAATTTTTAAAGGGACTTTCTAAAAATTTTTTATCAAAAGCTATAAAACAAACTCTGTATCGAATGGAAGACATGTGAAGACTCCCTTCCTTTGGTGCACGTGCTCCTGCGAGCTGGTGACTCTTAACAGGTCGTGTACGAGAGGAATCTTAGCCTCCACGTGCCTGCTGACTCTGTGGCTGTCAATGGCAGGTGAGTCTGAACCTCTTAAGGTTTCATTAGTTCCTGGGTGTTTCAGACTTGCCCTCAGACTAAGTTTATATCTAACTTACTTGTCAATTTCTTTAACTTTCTCTTCCAAAATGCTAAGACTCTTATTGGAGAGTGAAACTTCTCTTAAGGGGGTCAAATGAAATCTGACTTTAACGTCAGTCACATTATTTCCATTTGCAACCTTAATTATGCAAAAAAATATGCTGGGATTGTTTATTACCTCTGGGTTCCAGAGGAAACAGTTTTGATATTGTACAATACTTGTACAATATCGTTAATCATTGTACAATATCAGATATTATACAATGGTCTCAATATCTATTATTTATCTGATATGGTACATCTGCTATTGTACAATGGTCTTTATTAATATCTGGTATTGTGCAATGTATGGTTTCAATTAAGATAAAAGGAGGATTTCTATTTCATTTGCTTTTGTGACTATTAATTCAGTCCAGGATGTGAACATATGCTCTATGACTACTGTTCTGGATATAGAGCTCTGCAAAGATCAGACCAGCTACTCACTATGATTAACTCTATCAAAAAATAAAATTATAACAAGAACCCTACAGGCTTGGATGTCAGTTTATAATTCGAATGGATGAGTGAGATTTGAGACTGAAAGTGAAGTACTCAATGGCATGTTCTGAAAATACAGTTAAAGCTGAATTTCACAATCCTCTGTCCATTCCCATGCATGACTCACCAGTTTAATATTAACAGATTTTTTCAATTTCTTCCATTTTAAGACATTTATGCTATAGCTCACTGTCTGAAATAACTTTTTCCAGCAAATGGTCTGAAGCTAAGTTTAAGTTTCTAAAATCAAATTTTAAAAAATGTGGCCATTTTGCAAATAACTGAGCAAAAAGCCATGTTTCCTTGGTTAACTAGGCATTACTTTGCTAGGCTAAAGTCAGCATCTGAAGTCTATGCTTTCACTAATATATGGTAGTGATATGATCCAAAAACAGTCAAAATCTTAAATGATTAACTTGTGTGTTTTTTTATTCTACTAACCATCAGAGCTACCAAGATGATAATGTTAAAATTACTTGTTCTTATAATATGAACCTCATCATAGTTACCCTGGTATAAAATTATAAATTACATAAATAACTAAAATTATTTCAGTTAATGTTTTCAAAAGTTATATATACATATATTACATATTAATAACTGATATATGTATTGCATGAAAATCTTATGAACTGCTTAATTTAATACATTTCTACATATCAATTTTTAAAAAAATATATTTTATTAATTTCAGGGAGGGAGAGAGCTAGAAATATCAATTATGGGAGAGAATTATTGAATGGCTGCTTCCTGCCTGACTCCTCCTGGGAATTGAACCCTGACCTCCTGGTTCATAGGTCGATGCTCAACCACTGAGGCATGCAGGCCAGGCAAATGTACCTATCTTTTAACAAGAACTGAACTCCGCATGTTTACAAGGCTGTCTGGAATAACAAGCAAAATAAACAAGAGCCTTTCTGGATAAATGTGTCCATATGCCAAAGTGATTTATGTCTGATTCAAGACACAAAACTCATTACCTCTTAAAAAAAAATAATAATAATGAAGGCGCATTAAATGAACAGGAGAAATTCTACAGTATGTAGAACAGGGGTAATAATACATCATTTATAGTTTATTTTTTTAAAACAAGTCCAAGGAAGTAAAAATATTCTTTTAATTAAGATGCTCAAAGAAATAAGAGAAATTGGTGCGAGGACTCCTTCAAGTTAGGATTTATGATACAAATATTTTCATCTTTTAATAGGGCAAGCTGGTGTTCACATCTCAGTTCCAAGCTGCCTCTTTCAGGAGGAAGTATCAATATTTTTCAAAGCACATTTACAAGGCGTTGCCATCCCCCCTGCTGTGTTTCTGTAGCACCTATAGCCACAGCTGGCTCCTGGGGGCCTTGCCTTGTTGGCAGTTCCCCTCTCATTTCTTTGGAGTCTGTTCACCTGCTGTGGTTTTACTCAGAAGTGGGGGCTTAGCCTAGATGGTTTCCTGAGGCAGTTTCCACAGTCTTTCTCAGAAAACGGTGCCACTCTGCCTGAGAACAGCTCTTCTCTGAGAGGGGCCGACAGCAGCCTGGTCGGGTCAGCGTGCTGGTTCCTGGCCATGCTGGGCTAGCCTCTCTCCCTATTCCCCTCTTCCCCCCATTTCTGTGACATCACTGCCCACATCTTGCCGCCCCTTTAAAGAAGAGCACAAGGTTTGGACTAGTCCCATTAGAGAAAAATAAAATGCTTCCCAGGAAACCTATGCAAAGCTCCCACAAAAACAGGTCGTGGTTGTTTCAGCAACAGATGTGAAAACGATTTTAAATCATAAACAAAACCAGACTGAATATTTCAAATTTCTGTAAGGTAATAATCTGCTGCATAAGTCTCCACTTAGGGTTCTATATCAGAAATTTGGGGACAAAATTAACCTTATATTTTCTTGATTTGAGAATCTTTTTTTTTTTTTTAAAGATCATCTTGATAGTGCAGTTTGAAGATAATATATACAAAATGGCTTTAATAAGCTTTACATGGCATGCTGCTTTGAGGTGCTACGGTAAAGAGAAGCATTGCTTTAGGAAGTGGGTCATGTGGGTATATATATGTTGGTGTGCTGTGTTGGAAGCGATTCCATGGTCTTCGTCAGTATACCACTAGAGAGAGAAAAGAAAAAGGTCAGAATTAGGCAGTCGGTTGTCTTTTCTCCCGCAATCAATTCAAATGATCTGTCATGGGCATACGCAGAATTAAACAGGATGTTTTAATTCCCAAATGAGCGTGTGAACTGAAACGTCACCAGTGAGGTGTCTAATCCACTTCCCCCTTCCCCAAGCTTTCCCAGGCCATATTGTTCTGTCCTACAGAAGGTGCTGAGAGAACTCACTGTGAATTTGGCTTTACTGCATGCAGAGTGCTTTAAGGATGTGTATATTCTAATAAAAATATTCAAATCCATTTTCTAATTTGAGTCAAAGGACACTTAGAACCATATCAAGCACAGGATGAAATGTTTATCCCATTATGCTCACTAGTTTTAATTAAGTGTTAGCAAGTGTCAAATTTCTCCTACACTGTAGTAAGATAAACCGTATTAAAATAAATGAGTTTTTTTTAAAGGTAATTTTCCCTAATGTGTGTCAGTAAGGAACTAGAAAAATCTACTTAAGTATGCCATAAGTGAAGTCAAAAGTCAAATGTGTTATTTGGAAACACTTCGATTTTGCACTAGAGTTTTTATCTATATGTCTGACATTTATCTAGAAAGAGTTGACCTGAAGCAAAAATTTATCAACTCATGCTGCATTAAGCAACTGAGACATCATTGCCAGGCAAACATATCTCATGGAGACATAAATTAACTTCTAAAAGTTGCTTAATTAAAGTATGTCTTTTCTTTGAATATGAAAAAATAAACCTCAACCTCTTCTAAGAATCTGACCCAAAGGATATTTACCACGTGTTTTGAGTATAAATGACTATCTCACTCCTATATAATGGGCACTGTTTGAACTGAGCATACAGCAAAGTGTGTGTGTGTGTTACAAGAAAGTGAGCAAAAGCAGGCTTTTCCAGCTAATACAGACAATAAAGCATTTTACATATAAGAACAGTTAGTGCAACATACATACATACACACATATGTATGTGTATTTATATACATATCTTTTCTTAATCAGAAAAGATCAGGTGCAGAAAATGAATTTCACTTAATACCCAGAAACCTCCTACTATACAGTATAGGCAACAACTGCTCTAGCCATTTCTGACTTTATAAAACAATCCTAATTGTTTATTGCCTGTGGTTGTTCAACAAAAGACAACATGCCAATTGCAAAACCTGAAGCGTGCTAATGATTAATATGCCGCTGTTAGAGAAGCTAGTAATATTATACACCAGACAGAGATGGAGTTTCATATTTGAATTGAGCTATCATCATGCTGGTTTCACGTCAGAATTACCCTGCCACACATTTACTGAGCAAGTGATTACTTCTGAATCAAAATAGGAGGAGACTGAACAATCACGCCAACAGGAGAGCAGTGTTGGACAAGCACAGGGGATGTTGTGTTTCTCAACTCCCAACTCCCCAAGATCATTGGCCATGACTCTGTCTATGGTTCAAGGACATCCCTTCTCCCACTTCTTATGGGAACAACAACCCTTCTAATTCCGTTCCTGTCTCCCGAGACCTCTGTGAGGCGCAGAACCCCAAAGCGGAGAAACCAGACCCCATCACCAAGTTCCCTCCCCTTGCACCAAGTGGTGCTGTACCATCGCCTGGAAATCCACGCCGGCATCCACTAGGGCTTTGGTGATCTGAGCTGACTGCTGAAAATGAACGTTATCTGCGGGCAGAGAAAGGAGACATAGTCACTAAGAGCAGCTCCAGTGCTCTGGCCGGGAAAGGGTCGGAAAGACACAAAAAGAAAGGGACCGTTGGAAGTTCCAGGACTCAGCGTCCCATTTAGCCCAAGACAAGTGAGTTGTGGAAAGCAACACTGTTTTATTGAAGTAGATGTAACAGTCTTGCCCTCATGCTTTTGTTTTGTCAGTAGTGAAATTGCAAACCTGTCTGTGATACTAAAAAGTCTAATTAACTGAAACTCACCATCTGCTGTTCCATGAATAAGGAGGTACTCGACTTGTTTAAAATTTTCAGCTCTGCTCATGACTGTTGAATTCTGGAATTGGGGGGGGGGGGGGGAGGAGAGAGGGAGAGAGAAAGAATGTCATTATTCCAAAAAAGATCTGCCATCAACTGATTTTTCAGTTCAGTTTACAAAATAAAATGTTTTCAGCTGGGGCCCCCTTTGATACAAAATATAGCAAACCGATATTCAAGCAAATGCTGTCTCCATGCATGGCAGGATGCATAACATGCCCCGAGCCTGGGAGACATGAGAGGACTGGAGAGGGAGGATGCCCCATCTTCCTTGCCCGTGTAGCAAGAGGGTACCTGCCACTCCGGCTGCATGCAAACACCCTGGAGCTCCAGACCCCCTATTGGCTGTGTCCTATGCATTAGCACAGGGCAGAGTCTCATATTAGCAATGTATGTTCCATGGGCTTATGCTGTAGTTCAGCCAAAAAGTGTATTGCTATGGCAACCATGTGTCACATGGTGCCATACATGCTACGTTTCAAAGAGCCTGTACATAGCATTTGCAACGAAACATACTCTGCAATATGTCACATGAACTTTGGTCCACATCGCTAGGCTCAGAAGGAGAAGCAAGCATATACCTCTTTTGGAGCAGATGTTTAAAACCTAGGCAAACGCGACATATGGGAGGGAAAGCGGGTGAAAAAGATCAAGAACGGCCTGAGGGAATCAGTAGGTTGGTGTCTGCTTCATTCTGTCTTGGGGAAAAACAGCTGCTATTGGATCAAGTTGTTCCCAAATCACCCAGGGAAGTAGGACCCCAAATCGGGAGGTCAGGCTTCTGAAGGCTGCTTTGTGGCCTTAAGTAGGACTTTCAGAAGGAGGGTGGCGTCTTGGACGAAAAAGCCTTTGAAAGCACGGAACTGGTGGTCTGGTCTTAATTCCTGGAAGTGTACAAAGTTGGGTTGAAGGTAAAGATGGCACACCGACATTCTAGTGCCTTTGGGAGGGGGTGAGCTGGAGGAGTCTGCTTCTGTTGTCTGGTTACTGGTTGGGAGGGTTTAAACCAGCAGCTGGTCCCACAGCATCCTGGTGCACCAAACTCAACTTTGCAAGAGCCAAGGTTTGTATTTTACAGGTATCTTTGTAGCTACCACCAGCAGCAGCCTCACATTTTTAAAAAATTTTTTATGGGGACCCCGATTGTCTGGCAGGAAGCTGGATGGGACCAAGGTCAGAGGGCTTGTGTCCAGTCTGGGTTCAACGTCAGTGAGCTGTGCACTGGAGACAGGCTGGGCTCTGAGCCTGGTTTTCCACAAAGTGGGAATGAGAACAGCTCCTCTCCCTCTCTTACTGAAATAGGAACCTAGAGACATGGCTTTCTCCACCCCATACCCTTGTTTTTAGATTACATTGCTGATGCGGATGTGAGCATCAGGGAAGACATTCCATCTGCAGCTTTCAGGACAGAGCTAACCAACATGCTTCAGTGGACTGAGGCTCCCAAGGGCATGTTGCCCCAAAAAGCTGAGAGCAGATGCCCGCCCACTCCTGTGCAGGCTGGTTCCCACGTGTCCTGACCGTATTATACTTTAGATCCAATTTGAGAGGTTTGCCATGAGCTTTAGGAATCAACACATAGGACTCATTATAGGTCACACTTTTATTTTACTTCATTTTTAAAGAAGTGTTTTATCTGGTGAGATGTTCCAGATATATTTATCCATGATTATGAATCCATTGATCCCAACATTACCCCATTTATTCTTCCATCTATTCATTCATTTTTTTTTTTTCATCCAGTCAATCAATACTTATTTGGGATATATCCCACTAAACAGTAAGACTCAGGAGAAAAAGGATCTGTCTATATTGTGCATCACCAGAGTCTTAGTATCTAGGACAGTGCTAAGTGGTAGTCAAATGAATAGCTGAGGGACATTGAAGCATCGACATTGTACTATTCGCTATAAGTCGTCCTAGTTTTGCAGAGGCAAGTGGGAGCAGCTGGGGTGGTGGAATCCTGCCCACTTTTAACCCATACCCCGTGCCATGAATAATAGTAGCGAGCATTTATTGAGTGTTCACTCTGTCAGTCGCTGTGCTAAGCACCCTAACAGATTTCTAAGAGCACTGCTCTCATTCCCGTGAGATCCTGCTTCCCACGTGGAGACAGCGAGATCCAGAAGTGAGTAATTTCCACCTGGTTCCATCTGTGGGAAGTGACAGAGCTGGACACGAAGTCTGGCGGCAAAACCCTTTCCACCTCCTATGTTCGTGATCTGGTCTGCCAGCAATGGAGCAGCGGGGAATAAGCAGTTAATGAGCCGTCTCGGAATTTAGCACACAGATACAACGGGACCCTTTGGCTCCTGGGTCCCCAGGCTTCCCGAGACTGAGTTAATTGGGAGAGATCTTGGTCCACACAGCCCTGCGAGATTTATGAGGCATGTTTTCTGACGGTGCCCATGAGACAGAGGATAAGGGTCAAATTCAGCCTCCCTACAGGACAATGTGGGAGTCTAAGCTGGAGGCAGAGAGGCTGGGGCTTGAACCCTGACAGTGAGCATTAATAACCTGAGCGCAGGCCCTTTCGAGTCCTTCTGGGTGACCCTTTCTGCTGGCTCTCCTCTCAGCCTGCACAGACTGCACTGCTGTGTCCTCCCCTTGCTCCTGCCCACATGAAATCTAGCTCTCTGCTCACAGAAGACGTCAACGTTCACCCCTAGACCTGACCCAAATAGACATCTGCGTCAGCTCACCTCACCTCCCAAAGCCTCCCCGTCCTTTCCTGCTTGGCAGCCTGAACAGCAAAAGCTGCTCCCACAACCTCCCTGCCATAAAACTGAGAAATGCCACCGAAACATAGAGTCATGCTTAGGAGACATATAAATACGCAGGACAGTTAGCAAGGCATGTGATAACTACTGGAGTTTGGACCAAAACAGTTTCTGGCTTGCCTTTTTTTTTTTTTTTTTTTTTTTCTTAAAGGGAGTGAATACAGGCTGAAAGAAGACAATTTTTATAAACAAGTGAAACCCCGAGCCTAAGATAAATGTTGTGATGTACACACTGTAGCTGTGATGAACTAGACATGGTGAGAAATGCAACATACTGAGGAAAAGACGAAAACTGTGATAAAAGTGTCATGATGCAAATTGTTTTACATTAACAATATTACACTACAAAGAGAGAAAGACAAATACTTTAATGCAGCGAGGGGGAAAAAAAATCCAACAAAAGCCGCCCCTGCAACTGCAGGATGAGAGTGCGGCTGCCAGAGCACGCTTCCCCTCCTCTCAGGGCGGGGAGCCTGGCCGCCAGAGGTACACTCCCCCTCAGGCTCTGGGGCTGCGGAGAACATCCTTTCTCCCCTAAAACATGTCTCGGGGTCACCTGGCCTCACTCCCCACCAGACAGCGCATCCTCGTTTCCCCATTGAGAAAGACACAGGACAGTGCCCTTTGCCTGTGAACATCAACACCCAAAGCCAAGGAGAGAAAGCATCCATTTCCGGTCTGATTAGCAATTAGAGACAACTTAATGGTGCTATTTTCATCCACCCCGTTTGGATAATCCCCATTTGCCTGTTGATGGAAACTGAAATTGAAAAAAAAAAAAATTAAAAAAAGGAAATGGATGACTAAGTTAGAAGCCGAACAGTCTATCACCAACTACTAAAAAGGAAGCTAGGAGTGATAAATGGGCAAGGATGCAATGGTGGTGCAGTTGGCACCCTCCTGAGGCTAGAAACTTCCGGAAAGCCCCGCTGCCAGCGACAGTCTGGCGAGGCAAAGTGGGAAGGATTGGTCCAGTGGCAGTGCCGACGCCACAGCATCTCTGCAGGGAGCTTTTCCTTCAAGCCCCAAGGAGAACCATCTGTAGCTGCTAGTTGGATCATGCTGGTTCTTCAGTTACCTTCCAACAAATAAATCTTTGTATTTTTGAAATAAAAGAGAGAGCTGATGAGAGCGGGGAAGCACTGTGAGAAACAGAAGGTCTAACAAGTTTTAAGCTACCCCCTGTGCCATTCAGGAGCCAGAAGGACTATCGGCTTCCTGAGGACAATGGTGGCAGCTGCCCGGTTTTCAAAGCTCACTCCGTGGCACGGGCACAGGGATCTCAGTGAATCCCTGAGATAGCCCTGTGGGTAGGTCTGATTATCCCCATTGTCTAGATGAGGAAACTGAGGTTCAGAGAGCTGATGTGGCCTCCCAACACGCATACTGCCAGTAAGAACTGGACTTGGAGTCCAGGGCTAATTCCAAAGCCCCTTTCCTTTAGCATCACAGTCTCGCGTCCCTTCACATCATAGCCAGATAACTTGTCCCGTTTCCAGAACCTTCCACAGCCACTGGTCTCATGGACAGCCCAGTACACCAGTGACACGCTAAGCGTGGGTGTACGACTTCTTTATGCTTTCTCCCCCCTTGAAACAAAGCCTTATAAGTAATATCAAAGGATGCTATTTGGGGAAGCACCATCAATGCCACAGAGAACAGAGGCTACTGAAAATATTTAAGAAAAAAAATCAATTCAACCCACGATATCAGATGTTTTACTTGTTTACATCCCTCCAACAACTGTCCCCATGAGATGCCAAGGAAAGAGCTCCCGTCAGCCCGACAGGGGGCTCTACCTCAGGCCTCAGCAAGCAACACTGGCTCCTTTAAAGATCACACAGCAGTCAACATTTTATCAGCACTCAACAAACAAGTTAAGGTTTGGCTTAAATCTGAAGGTCTCTCTCCCTTTGGCATATTCTGGGATAATAGAACAAATGTCAAATCAGTACAAGATGGCATATTTACAAAATTGCACCCTGTTTTGCATAACCTAACGATGCAGCAGTTCTTAAGGATTGAACATTTCAAATCTGCTAGCAGAAGACTGCCAAATCTATGACTGTTTCATGCACTTGCCAAAAGCCTATCAAATTTTGAGCAAAATGCAAAATAAATCTCCTCTACAAGTTAAATCAGTCCCTTCTGTGTGTTCCAGGCTGCCCTCTCTCCTGGCAACCAGTCTCAGGACTTGGGTCTCATTTCCCTTGCCCTTGATCTTATACTCTTCTCTTATGTATTCATAAATCCATTCCCTCCCCAGTCTTACGTTCTGCCTGCTTTGTCCCCATGTGGTCTGCTTTTCCCTTGGTCCTCCTTTGGTGTTATTCCTCAGTTCATGGGACCTGCCTCCCAACTCCCCCAACACCAGCTCCGTCTGTTATTCCTGTGTCTACCGTGCCTCCCTGCCCCATCCCTGTGTGTGGCCCAGGGAGAACACCTATGCTCCTCCTCTCTATCCTCCTCAGCCTTCCTAGATTGGCCTCAGATAACTGCCCTCTCCCTTCCCGACACTCTCACTATCTGTACGTTATATAACATTTTGTGTCTCAGTTTCTGTGTCTGTAAAATCAAGACAAATTTGGAGCACTTATCTCAGAGAATTTGAAGGAAAATTGAGCCTAACAGTTCATGTAAAGAGCTTAGAATAATGTTTGGTCATAAAAGCAAGCACTTAATAAATGAAAGAAATAAATGAAAATGGATCCCGCTGGTTAAGAAGAGTGGTGGGAAGGTGAAACCCTAACTTCTTGGCCCCTTCCCTTCTCCTCCCTTCCCTTCCCTTTCTTGGCTACTTCCCTTCCCCTCCCTACATCTTTGGAAGGTACAGGATGCTTGGGACTCCACAGTCACAATTTGGAAACCACTAGTCTTTTTCATACATATTTGGCACTTTGTCATACTTAAGTTCATGCTTTACTACCTTCTCTCTTTTATTTGTCTCCCAAAGTTTTGTGGGCGTGTTTTGTTTCACCAGGACACCTGAACAGTTAAAACACCAGCCACCTTAAATAGGTGAGCGAAAGTCTACCACATGTTAACATTTTTTATAGATTTAACTAAAATACCTATAATACCCACATAAGAGACTATTTGGCAAGGTGAGTCAGAAACCCATTCCTCAAAGTGTGGCCACAGTTGTCCATTATTATTGCTATTGGGAGTGAGAGTTGTCCCATTGGCTCTCTGATTCCTGTGCTCAAGTCTGTCTGAGGACTGAAACCCAGTGCAGAACAGATCAACACTTTAGCTGTGTGTGTCAACTCTACATTTTGGCTGCTGATTTAGAGCTTCTGGGACCATCTCATTGGGGTTTTCAGGAGATGAACATTTTCCTTATCCTTTAAGTTCCAGGTATCCTTTAAAAGTGCTTATGTACCAAAGGAGTCTGACGGAGTCCCTGCCTTTGGGTTCAAGCCTTACTTCCAGGGTCCCCTCATTGCAACATAGTTTTGTGAGACTAGGAAAGGTACTCCCTCCGGATGCAGCCTCAGAGGCACACGCCTTAGTGGATGCATCATAGACCAGCTTTCACCAGTGCGCAAGCTAAACAATTGTTCCTGGCATCCCTGGCTGTGCCACTGGCATTTGTACATGGTTCCCTCAAGTGCCTTCCCCAAATGCTAAATAGAACCTTCATTTCACAAAGGTGCCTCTCTTGGTGATCTGGGTTTCTCTAAATTCTTCCAAATATGGGTCACCAATGACCTAATAATGGATCCCTTTTTCTCATTTGAGTTTTATTAAAATCTGTATTCTCTTCCAGAGGCTATAGTGCTGGCCACTGCCCTGATGATTTATGAGCTGAAGACACGGACAAAGATCAGGGTCTTGCTTCTTACAGACACTCTGGGTGCTTCTATCCTGGATAGAAGGATGGGGATAACTTCTTGGCCCCCTCCCTTCCTCTCCCTTCCCTTCCCCTCCTCAAGGGAGTCATTGGCCAGAGTTAATGGGAATCACTTTCAAAAGCTGTCCTTCTGACCCAGGAAGTGAACAGGGCAGTGAAAGCCTCTAAGAAATTACCTTCTTTGTCTTTTTAAAGAGAGTGGGAGGATAAATGGGGGTGGGAGAGAGAGAGAGAGAGAGAGAGAGAGAGAGAGAGAGAGAGAGAGAGAGAGAATAAATATAAACCACCTGGGAAAGAAAAGTAAAAGAAGATGGGGTCCAGAGGGGCAGCTGGGGCCTTGGAGGAAAATAGAATCTTTGAATATATTCTTGCCAGAGACAAAAGCACAGGCTCATTTAAAAAACAAAGGAGGGCAGCTTTATTCTGAAGCCTGCTGTGCACCAAAAATAGGCACTTTGGATTCAGTTCTCCTCACGCAGAGGAAGCAATAAGCCAGGGTGGAAAGAATTCTGTGAATACATTCACCTCACTTTCTCCAGCCCACCTTAACGATCGCCGCCCAAATAATTCCTCCGAGTAACACATTGGGAACCTTTAGCTCCCTGGTACTGGCAGTTTTAATGTGTCCATTGCCAGCAGTGAATTCTGTGCCAAGAAAACCCGACTCCTGGCGGTGGAAAGATTAAACAGTCCTCGGGTGCCATCTGTGCAGTGAATCGAAGGAGTGACTCTGTGCACCCAGTGTGCGTGCGTTGCCATTGGCAGTGGGAAGTGACTTCTGTTTACATGACTACCTCATGCAGCGAGCACCTAAGGGGAGAGATGAAAGTGGCCACGGCAGTGAGGGGTGGGCTGAGAAAGAGGGGGACCACTGTGAGAACGAGGAGCCCTTGGGAAGGTCTAAAAAAAGATAAAATGGCAGATTAAACCTAATTATCCAATAAGGGGAGGACTGGTTAAAGAGGAAACACCCTGTTGGCAGATGATCACCTGGGGAAGTAGGCTAGGTGCCATGAACTTGCTTAGATTCAGGATTTGGACTTGACTATGTACTTGCTTCTATGTTCAAAGACTTTTTTTCAATATGTAATTTTAAAAGTGAATGTTTGATTCATCACCCACCAGCTTCTAGAGTCAGAGTTAGGATCCTGGGCAGTACACCTTCAACGTTTCAGGAATTTTTTTTAGTACAATAGGCAATCTGAGAAAGGCCTTGGGCTACCCAGCAAATATGGGGTACTACAACAAGAGGGGTGCTTTTCAAATGCAAGCATCCTGGTCAGGTCACTGACAAGAAAATTCCAGCTGTAAAATGAGAGAAGGTGTGGAGACAGATATTTATAACAGTGTTTTCCCTTTGAAGAGTTTTAATATTAAATAGGGAAAAGCTTCAAGGTTTATACTTCATACTGGGTGACCCAACAAATACTACAAGGTTGAGTAAAGGCTTAAATAGCTAAGAATAACTGCAGAGGGGGAATGGGAGTGCAATCCAACCTTGAGTCCAAGACAGTGAAGAGGGGGCTGAAAGAGATCTGAGGAAGACGCCATGGCATTCCAAAGGGGATGCTATTCCTACGGGAGAGCAGCACAAGTCTCCCAATAGATGGAGATGAAAAGGAGATGACATTGCACACAGAGGGAAAAGAGGACAAAGGCCCCCAAATATTCTGAGAACAGTGGACCGTCCAGGTAAAATGGGCCATTAAAGTGTTGTGGGTAGAGGTTAATCTCATAGCTTTGCGGGGTATAAGGTAGAAGACAGCTAAGGAGAGATCAATTGGCCTGTTGTTTTACAAGGGAAGATAGTCATGTGACAGCAACGATCCTATATAATCAAAGCGTGGTATGCTAACTAGACCAGACGTCCTTCTGGATGACCTTCCAGACGAAGCTGGGGCTTTGAGGGCCAAGGCACAGGCAGCTGCCATGATGATGGGGGCCAAGCCCCTTGCACGAATTTCGTGCATCGGGCCTCTAGCATGGTTATAAAGAAGATAATGGGTGTCTGAAGAAGCTTCCTGGATGTGGAGGAGAGTGGGAAGAACTGAGTCCAAAGCATCATGTGGGACAATTAGCAGAAATGGGGCTGGCCTGATTTGTGCATCTCACTTTATAGGTTGAAAAACACATACAAGCACAAACAGACACACACACACACACACACACACACACACACACACACACACACACCTCCCTACCTCTCTTCCACCAGCCTTGTTAAATAATGCTGACAATAAGAGTTAGGACTACACTGTCTATGCTTGTGTTGCAAAACTAGAAATTTTGAGTTTTATTGTATTTTAATCAAATGGCATTAGAATCCGTAGTAAAAACATTTTATTAAAATGTACAAATAATGCTCAGAGAAATGTATCAATATGAAACTCATAAACTCATATCTTGAGAGTTGTAGCACAAATTGTTCTCTTAAATTATTCTTGTTTTTTTTGTTTTGTTTTGTTTTTTTCCCTTTCTTTCTTTTTAATTAACTGTCCTAGGAAGAGTTTTGAATTTCCTTTGAAGAATGTAAACATCAGATGATTTGCCTTGTCATCTGGAGTTTCAGGATTTTTGACCAACGTGACAGAATCAGGAACATTTTGGATGAGCCACAGCTAGAAGAGTCCCTAGTCCTTAGGCTAACACTTCCATCTACCTCAGTGTGGCTCTGGCTTTCTGGCAACATCCACACTAGCACATGGGGCTGCCACGATCACTGACAGCCCCATATTTCAAGCACTGTAGCCCATCAGGCAACCAGCCTGTTGGGTGTTATTGAGCAATTAGGGTTCAAGGGCTTTTCAGGGTATCGCCCAACTGTACTACTTACTCCTCATCTACTTTAGTCAAATCTTGTGAGAAAAAAAAACCAAACTACATGTTTAATTATGAATAAGAAAATTATGGGCTTGTTCATACATCTTAATTATGATAATACCATAAAAATTTAATATATAGCTAAAGGTTTAGAGTCTTCTGGCTGTAAAAATATATGCTGAATTTGACATGTTTTCTAAACTGAAATTTTTGTAATTAAAGTAATTATCTGGTGTTGCTTTGTATTTCCAAATGAATGCATATTGTGACCTATATAGCATACGATAAAGATTGTAATTATGCAGAATATAGTAGGGGAAGCTACTGGAGTATCTTTAAACCACCTGTGTTATTTCTTTCAACAAGAATTTTGTTGGAAATAAAAATATATATTTTATAAAAATAGATACAATTTAACATGTTCTCAAACCACTTCCAAATAGGTTATGAAATGGACCTGGTTCCTCATCTCTTACCTTGTAATGGTCAAGGTTGTCTTCTGGAGTTGGGAGACCCATGTAGCGTTCTGTGTACACTGAGTCTATGGTGGAGAAAAGGAAAAAAAGTTAATTCATACAACAAAAACTTTTCTTTCTTTTATTTGGTTACTTTATGTACTTTAGTATGTCTTAACTTTGCATAGGTCTGTAGTGTTATCCTCAGAAATAACTCCTCCAGATCATTTTTATTTGGCTTGCTATTATAATTTAGCCAGACACCTGCTTAGACTTCTGGTTTCCACACTCTGCCCTAGCCTATCCCCAATTAGTCCTCATGGTGAGTGCAGAGAGAAAAACTTCATAATTCATTTTCAAGAAAAGCAAAGGTGAAAGTGCTAAGAGGTTAGGAATCTGTACATTAACATCTGATCTTCTCAAATAATCTTAATTAGGACGTCACTTAATGGCTCACTTGTCTTAAATGTCTTGGTCCTGACACAGTGTATGCCCTAATGTATAATATGCTATTATTACCTCTTGGAAATCTCTAATAGTGTCCAATTACTGGTTGCTTAGTTAAATCATAATTTTGGTAGGTTGAAATTCACTATAATAACATAATTCAGTTATCATTTATTTGCTGTATTACCCCATATTGACTCAGCTACTCCATCATAATGCAAGTTAAACATTTGTTTCCTTTCCTTTTGTGCAGAGGCCTCAATTTTGATGTGGGGGTTGGGTATTGTGAAACAGATTACATTCATATCTGTCTGCTGAAATGACATAAGCTTTTTCATTTACCAATATATGGCAATAAATATATGTATTATTGGCTGGTTATTTTGACTTATTGAACATATTTTTGCTCTATTTAAAAAAATAATCATATATAATATCTAACATATTTAATATATGTATCATAACTGATATGATATAAAAATATATTATTTTTATATCATATCAGTTATGTTATATACATTATATGCATTATTATATATGTATATGTCCTAAAATATCAGTGATATATTTCCAATATAACTTTAAAAGTCTGAAATAATTGTTTTGAAAGATGTTCCTTTAATTGACCAGATTACAGTGAATAAAAGTATAAGAATAATGCATTGCCATTATGCTGTATAAGTATGGCTTGAATTTCATGTAATTGAACAGGTATTTTAATACTGATCTCATTAATTCTTTAAATTAATATATCACCTGAACAACAAGCTCAAGCAACATTCTTACCCTTTTTGTATGACTGGCATTGTAGATTAAAAACGACATTGATAATGAATGCTAATTGTTCTGCATGTCTTCTTTTGACATGCCATTTCTATGGAAGTCTTAAATATTTTCCGCCAAACATGTTAAGAGCAATATTTTGTCATTTTGGTTACAGTGAGTACAGACTATGTGTATTTTTACATGCCCAGAGAACACTAAAATAGAAAATATAATATTTTAAAGGATATTTTATGAGATTTTCTAAAATGCTCATATCCTTTTAAAAATCTTTAAATATGAATAACAGTAATTTGATAGGGGAAAGATGTCCCTTTTAGGGCAAAATAAATTTTTCCTCAAACAGCCACAGTCTTCCATTCTTCTTGTCCTAGAACATAATAACCCTTTCTTAAACTTGCAAGTGAAGAAGATGTGACATTTTGAAAATAAAATTTAAAATGCATAATGAACCCTGGCTGGAGTTGCTTGGTGATTAGAGCATGGGCTCCTGTGCACAGAAAGGTCGTGGGTTCCATTCTGAGTCAAGCGCACTGCCTGGGTTTGATCCTTGCTCCCTCTCCGATCCCCCCTCCCCCCCCCCCCCCAGGGAGGGGTGTACATGTGGAAGGCAACCAATCAATGTATCTCTCTCACATCAATGTCTCTCTTTTTCTCTCCCTCTCTTCCACTGTCTCTAAAAATCAATGGAAAAAATATCCTCCTCAGGTGAGGATTAACAACAAAATAGATAATGCAGTTGTAAACTTTTAGAAATATGCCTTGAAATACCATCTATGTGTTCCTTTTATCTGATCTGTTATGTAAAATTTTTCAAATTTACATATGTAGAAGAATTTTTGAAAGTTCCTATGTGTTAGGTTGGTCCATAGACATTTATGGAAGATCTCTTCTTATCATGACATGTCTATAAATTCTCCAAGTTTGTTTCTATTATTTTATTGACCAGCAGAGGTCTCCAAAAACAAGTTACCCAATAGAATGATTATTAATATCAAGCAGAAAAGTGTTATATGGAAACAAATCCATGGTGTGAGGATCAAATCCTAACTATGTTCTTCAATTTTTTTAAAACTGAAAGATAGCAATATATTTTCTTACATTGGCTTCTCTTGATTTGGAGAGAGTTTAAAAAAAGCATTTTCACAAGATTGGTACTACCATATGTTAGGACATAAAATATTTAATGAGCATATTCATTATCAATGATTCTGTACTTACACTGCAGAAAGGACTTGAGATGGGGTCAGAAGAGACACAGCAAAAAATTCATTTCCTCACTTTTCTCCCCTACCTACTGTTGCTCTGCTCACTCCTTCCCCCTTGGGAATCATAGTTTTACATGTGTATGATGCCTGATAGAATAATATTTTCTCAGTGATGAAGATTACAAATGGAAAAAAACAATGGAAAAAACAAACCTCCTGGGAATTCTCTTGTCTCTACTCTCCTCTATTCATCCAAAGCTCTACTTATATTTGATACTTACCAGAAGAGAAAGAGACACATGTTTCTTTTATTCTGCTAATACGTGAAGCTCAACCTTCAAGTTAGAATAAAAATAAGGAAGGACTTATTTATCTGCAGAAATGTAGCATTGAGGATGTCTGGGAATTTGGAAAACAGAACTTATTGCTAAGAAAATGTGTAGATAACGTATATACCATCCAGCCTTTCACAATAGCAGAATAAGGGAGATGGTTTTATTATAAGTCTCCATAAAGTACGTGTAAGATAAGTCAGTTTATTCATTGTAGAAACACTGCAACCCAAAAAGGGATGGTTTTGTCATTGGGATTTCAAGGTCAACACGCAGTATCTCTTTGTATTTCATAGCAATTACATACCATAGAACTCCCATGCTGACACAGGTGCCACGGCTATCCCACACTTGAACACGCCACTTCCTGCTCCCAGGACCATTGAGGTTACGTACCCTCCATATGACTAAGGAATGGAAACAGTTATTTTTATGGAGGTAAAGGGATTAAGAACATATGGTAAGCGAGTTGCAGTTTCCACATTTCTCACATCTTTATATATTGTGCCTCTTTAGAGATAGAAAGCATGGTAGAGGAGGCTTAAATTGGCCTTAATTGGACAGTATCTAAAGACACGTTTTCAGAGCCCTGTCCCTTTTCTTAGTAGGTATGAGGGGGGAAACACTAAAAAGTTTCTGGGTAGTACCATTAAAAAAATAAAAATAAAAAACAATAAACACTGAATCTTTACTGACTTTGACCCATGAGAAAAATCTTTCTCCCTCTCTCGTTCCCCTTCTCCTTCCTTCCCTCTCTCCCTCTTTCTTCCTCACTTCCCTCCCTCATCATAATAAACAAAGGTGTAAGCTTGGCTAGTAGGGACTCATTGCTTAGAGGTCTAAGATATTTTACTCAGACCTTTTAGATTCAAATGATAGGATTTCATCTCCAAATATTTACATACAAAGATATATTCTCCTGCTCTGGGTTGTATTCACTAAGAAATGTATATAGAATCATCGGCCAAACAACTACTCACCCAGCCCCAAATTGCAATTCGTTTGTCATCCACAAATCCCATTTTTGAAAATTGTCTAAAATACATAGGAGAAGTCCACAAATTAGTATTACATTGTATATAGAAAACTAAAATAAATGCACAAATGAAACCCTGACATTTGTTCTCTATCTCAGTCTATGAGAAACTAAGATATATTACTGCCAGCAGTCAAATAAACACCTGAGACCAATGTCTATATCATTTTTACCTTAAGAACCAGATGAACAAGGTTCACTTTTGTTGGAGTCCATAAAAATCGTGTGTGTGTGTGTGTGTGTGTGTGTGTTGGAGGAGGGGGGCTATGATTCACTGAAAACAAATCCTGGCAGTTTTTTTCACAGTTTTATATAAAAATTTGCAGCCCAGATGCACTTTTCTTTACATAATTGAATTTAAATCTCTCCAGATGTTTTTCAGTTTGAGAGAGGCTGGCCCTGCTGTGGAGAAGGATAGGGGCCTGGAGAACAGCTGGGTAGGGCTTAGAAAAGTATCTGAGCTCCCTACCTGAGAACTTAAAAACCATTCTTCAAATAAATCCCTTTTAATGATGGGTGTTGATTAGTTAGCTCAGCACTGTTAAATCAGAAAGACTTTCTCCTTGATGAATTAGGAAGTCTTTTTGCCACAGAATTGCATTCAGGATAGGAACGCAGGTAAAGAAAGAGGAAAAATGTTTTATGCTAAAAATACTCATCTTGGAATTATATAAAAAATAATTTTTACTTTTCAAAAATCTAGCCTTTGGGACACAATTTTGTAGTATTGAGTGGTGTGGGAAACCCTTGCTTTGACCTATATGTGACTTTGAGAATCTGTGTTTTCAATTGATAATGTATGTCTTAGGCTACCCCGAGTTAAGCAATATTACTTAAGCAATACTAATAAAAAGTCTTTTTCAGTAAACCTTTAAAACTTAGAATGCATATGTAGAAAAATGTGCACCAAGTCATGAGTGTAAACCTTGATGGGTCTGTACAAAGTGAGCATACCCTTGGCAACAAAGATAGAGTGCTTATTATCTTCCAGAAGTCGCTGGGTCATTTGGGTTTTGCAAAAATTTCACCTAAATTTGTGCCATGGTTTTGATTTTATGGAAATTGGGTCGTGCAGAATGTATTTTTTTCGTTTCTGGCTTCTTCCATTCAACAGTTTGTTTGTGAGATGCATTTATGTGATGGTGTATAGTTCTTTTTAGTTGCTGAAAAAAAAATACTCCATTGTATAAACACTCTACATCTCATTACTCTTAAAAACTGCAGTTGTATATTGTGGATATTCAATTCTATAATTTTAGGGCTTCTGTCGGTCAGACTTGAGAGGCCCTGAAAACTATACTTTCTCCCAGAGGACCAATCTGAATAAATAAAAATTCATTTAAAAATATTACAGTTTCACTCTTGAAAAAATTTGTCCTCTCTCTAATCTAAACTTCTCTTTTCTTGGTTTTAAGGAAATAGTTAATCATTAGTGTTGGATTAAGAGACTCAGAGATACTCAATAAATTGACATCTCTTCAGTTGTTCCTGTTCTTAAAGGAATGATCCTCCACCCATTTAATCACTCACAATTTTTCTATACTTCCTGGTTTATGGCTTCACAATACTATTTTAAATCACCTACTTATTATGTTTCTGTTGACATTCAAGCACTTGGTTATAGAAAGTCAAATATTACATTTCCCGTTTGCCAGTTGAATGCAACTGAATGTAAGAACTGGATTCAAACCCTGACCGATCTAATTTAGAACCCTCCATTCATTCACCCAAAACATGGAATACCAACACCCACCTCCCATGTTTGCTGTGGAGCTTCAATGACAATGCAGGTGAAACATTTCCCATGTTGCATGCACATTAAGGAGTAACCAACATTTATAATTAAGATCTCTGTTAAGTCAGATCAAGTCTATCTATACAGTCCCACAACTGGAGAGCACAGGAATGAAATCAGTCAGATGCGTACTTCACAAAGCCCTTATAATTGTGAATAATGAGGGTTGTGCTCCACCATTTCCCCAAAATTAGATGAGAAGTAATCCTTATCCAGCTGGCTGTAAGAGCCACTCCTAGGACTCCATAGCTATCACCCTCTTCTGGTTTAAATGAACCCGGAACTCCTCTACGTATCACTGCCTGAAGGGATAGTTTGCTGGCTTCCCTAGATGTTTACCCAAGTGCACATTTATCCTTCAATTGGTCCACGTGTTTGATGCATTTTGAGTTTCTGTTCCTCAAAGGAGGTAGCACACATGTCGATTTCCTTTTTAGAGTCACAGCCAGGGATTCAGGAAATATCTTTTTTAAACTTTATATAAATCTATAATTGTTATAGGCAGTTAGACAGACATGAGCAGAGCAACAGCGATAGGCAGAAAGCCTTAGATGCCTAGCAAGGGGCGAAAATTAGGAAAAGAACCTCACTCCCAGGTAACTTTTCCTCCCCTACCATATCGCTGATCATGCGGTTTGGACCCCCTGATTTTTCATATCACTAGACAAGGGGCTTTCCTCCCTAAAGATAACATCTAAGCCTCAGCTGTATTTCAACTCCAGACCCAGAAAGGCAGCAAAATCAGACAATGACCCTATGGCTGCTTCAGGGCCAGCTGCATTGAGTAATGACTCCCTGCCCTAGCACCTACCAAGCAGTAGAGACCATGACACTTGAAAGAACACACCTGGAAAGCTGGTGATTATTCTATTGAGCCCTCCCCTGAGACCCTCCCTAAGATTTCCACCTGCAAGAGAGAGATAAATATGCTCAGGCTGAAGGAACCGGCCCCTGTTCTCCCCCAGGGAGCAGGCCCACACCATTCCCAACCCCCTTCTTCCCTCTAAGCAACCCTAGGAGACTTGCAACTAGAGGAGCAGAGGGCAGTAGCAGCTCTCCCTGGGCAAACCCCCTGAACCTGTTTCTAAGGCCCCCTTTTCTCCGACTTCTCAGTGAACCAAAGCAGCCCAGCCTACGCTCTCCTGTTATTTCTCCTACACCCTTCCTTGTTTCACTGTCCTAAGTATATTTTTGCTGAGGCCAATCAATTCTTGCTTGCTTTGCTGCACTTTGTGTCTTGATTGAAATCTTTCCTTTAAGAAGACAAGATCCTACATCTTGTTGCCTCATTGGTAGCATATTAGCATACATTTTTTTTTTTTTTTTTTTGTCTAAATACGATTTTCTTCACAAAAAATCCACCCCAAGGATGAAAGACTTCAAGTTCATGCCGGAACACTTTAAATTATTTACACTTTAGGGATTTAAAATGTAAATTGGATGAGTCACTAGTCACTCACCTGGCTGCTTCAATTTGATCTTCAACTTCAAATGTTCCGAGTCTTCTGTTGATTGCATGCATGATCTTATCTCCTTGGTAACCACTTCCTCTGCCATCAAAGCTAGCTACTATAATATTTTCTGTGCTTGCAAGGTAAGTAGCCCAATTGAGCGTGAAGGTGGCATCTGCTTTTTGACTACAGGGGCCTGCATACCTGTGGGGGAGGGAGAATAAATTTTTAGCCTGGGTGGTTTTCCTGAACCGATGGAGGAGTGCTTGCATTTCTGTTCCTCATGGACAAGAAGTGTGCCCCTTTCCTGATCATGAGCCTGAAATCGTGCCAGCCCCCAAGATGTTCACAATAGGTCTTCTAATACTTGGCAACATGACTATAATGGCTGTGTGTTCCCTTCAAAGATGTCCCCGTTAATTTCGTCTTTGAAGACTGTTATCAAACAGACTTCATTGGCCAACATTTTCTGAGTCATATATAACTTGGAAATCAAAGAAATAAATTTCTCTGAGGATGATGTTATGAAAAAAATAACAAGGATGACAATAAATGCAGCTTTGAAAATACCTTTCCATCTCAGCTTACAAAGATTTCTTTCCTAGACTCCAAGTGTCTTCCCCAGGTTGGAACTCCCTTAGGGACTTTGACTTCTACATGTTACGCATTGCATTTCCTCCACTACTCAGCACCAGGTTGCACACTAAAGCTCCCAAAATCATGTGTGACGGACCAAATTATGAATGAGCATGATTCTTTAAAACTTCAAAGGATAAGCAGACTATCTGAAATTGGGCAGTTTGTTTGGCGTTCTATTTATTAACAAGTTTAATTCCCTGGAATCTGCGATCTTTATAAGCCACATCTTACCCAACACACAGCTATATGCGAAAAAACTCCCTAAGCCTTTTCATTTCCTCCTTGTTCACCAAAAGAGGCTCCCCATCACTTCCTCATTGCTCTTAATTTAAACATCTGGAAATTTAGAATACCTTTTTCTTCAGCTTATATGTTTTGTTTACACAGAACTGTAAATACAATGGAACAGGGCTGTAGCTAATGCTAAGATGTGTACCCTTCCTTCTTTTGCTGGTAACAACAGAAATGTGGTGTTCCTGAGCTTGAGCTTCAGTTTTCTCTTCTGAATAATGGGCCCAACAGAACTCACCACATGGGTTTGCTGTGTGAACAAAATAAGGCAAGTCACCTGGCACACTTGAGGCACCCAACCCATTTATTGTTTTGTTTTGTTTTGTTTTGAATAAAGGAAATGAGTCAAGCTAGAACAGGAAGACTGGCATTGTGGTGGCATTACAGGCAAAGTCAGAGCAATTTTAGAAGGATTAAAGTTAAATGTATTCCTAATAATTATCAAAGGTATTTGACAAAGCTGCCATATTTAAAATTCACATGAGTTCACAGCTACTGCTCAAAGACTTGTGATTTCGGAACTTTCTTTAAGATTTGAAGAAGTTTGGATTATAATGACTACTTTCTTATATCACATATGTTCTCTTCACCAAAGAGAGGAATGGAAAATACCAGGCAGTGGTATTTCAGGAACTAAAGAAAAACCTGATGTCCTATTAAAACAAAGACAATCATGAGAAATGTTGTGGCCAAGTTTTCGGGTAAGGAAACTGTAAAAGATGTTAATATCATCTTTCTCATTAAAATGTCCACAATGAGGATAAAAATGGGGACTTGAGAATTCCTTTGGAATTCTCTTGGAGTTCAGGGAAACAAATAAAAACAAACTTCATATGCTATTATGATGAAAAAAGAGTGTCTCTCTTCTCCGTTAGAAAGAAGGTAGAAAGTACATGCTTGGGTTTATGATTGCAAAATAGGAGGAAATAATAAAATTGCTGCATAGTGATCCAGGAAGAGAGAAAGGATGTGTTTTGCTTTATTTTTTTCAGTAAGCTACACTGAGCAAAATAAAAAGTACAATAGTTAACTTCTGAATTTTTAGTTCCCTTTCCTTGAACACATACTTACACGTCTATTAGTAGAGGATATTTCTTGGATTTATCAAAATGAGGAGGCAAGATCATCTGATACCAAAATTCTAAACAAACAGAAAGATTAATTAGTGAATTAAGAACAATGATTAGCACATGATTTTGGTTCTTTATCTGTTAGTAATAAGCCATATCTAGAGTTTAACAATGTGTTAAGTTAAAATAGAAAAAAGAAGTGAACTACTTGTATTCAGCATGTTTTTAAGAAATAAAATCATCCTCTTTCAGGTTAAAATACTGGTTTGGATTAAAACAATAAAAATTTTTTCTAATGTATCTATTAAATACATCAGCACCTTGAAGATAAAAGTGCATTTTAGAATTGCCAATGCTTTGTTTTTATGATTCTGTTTTTTGGTATTTGATCTACTTATCTAGTTTGTTTATGGCTTATGTTCTAAGTTTGCCTGCAAAATGTTTTCCTCTTCTTGAATTTCCTTGAAGATGTTTAGGATTTTTAGTTGGCCCCAATTCTATTTTAAAGTTCTGATTTAATAACATTTGTGTAATTCTTATTGCCATCCCAGGCCTCGAAGCCAGTTCCCCTTTTCAGCTGTATGCTTCACAGCATGAAATCAGGTTTACATAGAGCAGACGGTTATGTACTTTTTATATGATCTTTCCCAGATCTGTTTAATTCTCTGTGCTTGATTTAACATCAGTTCAATAAAATTTGAATCTAAATAATAAATCGGTTTTCTTTGCTCCCAAATTCAGGTTGATGAGCTAGACTAATAAATCAAAAAGGGAATAAAATGAGTTGTTCCATATTTTAGTAAGATTGCCTCCAGCTTCAGTAGATTGGACTAACCTGTAGGGAAAATTTCCCTGTCTGGAGCTGCTTCTTCCTTAGGTTTATCTTTTTGTTTTTTTTGTGACAATTATTTTAATTGATGAAAAAAGAAAGCTTTAGGAGTCAACCCTTTATATAGACTTCTCTCCCATTTGTATTTTGCTGATTATTTTATGCCTTTTGATTAAATGTACTTATAAGATGGAAAATTTCAGTGTTTATTACATTTTGACCTATGAGTTAGTTGTTTTATAATTCAATAATCTCCTTTTATTTTTTAATTTATTGTTTGAGGTATTACAAATAGTACATAAATCTCCCCCCCCATTGTCCTCCACTCCCCCCTCCCTTACTCATCCCCCTACGCTTCCCCTACTCCCTCCAACAGCACTTGCCTTAGTCTCCCCTGCCCCCAGTGTCTTGTGTCTGTTGGTAGTGCTTATATGCTTGCATACAAGTCCTTTGGTTGATCTCTTGATCATAATTGTTCTTAATGAATGTGCCAAACCCACCATTGGATCTCTCTTTGTTTGAATTAGCACTAGTTGATTGGAAGTGTTTTAGTTCCACCTTTTGAAGATGCTCAGGCTATTCTTTGGGGAGTGGAGGTTCCTTCTAATCCCTAGTCCTACCGCTCTTTGCTTCCCCCCCCCCCCCCCCCCCCCCCGACTCTCCCTAGGCCTTTCTTTCTTGAGTTTGAATGGTTTAATCACATCCCAACTGGAGCCCCCGCCTCTGGCAACACCATCCTTCTCTCTGTCAGGTTACCCATCCAGTCCCGAGGTTTCCCTGACCCGAAAACCTTCTGGAGCTCCCCACCGTTTACCAATTGAAATAGAACTTCACATTTTGGTATTTAGTGCCTTCTGCACCTGGAAGTCCAGCTAGTTCTCCCAAACACTAAGCCCTTGCCAGATAAGCCTGGCACAGGGGGAGCAGCTCTGGCAATGCTTGGAAACTTATTATCAACTCCGAATGCTGGGCCCACCCTAATGGGAATGTGCATATTATCAAGGTCCAAGGTGACTCATTTGCACATTCAGTCTGAATAGCCCTGCTCTAGGCTGTTGTTCAGAGGTGCCACTTCCCAGGGCCCTTCCTGCCATTTAACATTAGATGAGGTGAGTCTTTTCTATTACTGTCCTATATTTAAAAAAAATAAATCGAATACTGTCAACAATAATAAAATAAAATTTAAAAAAAAATCTAAAATCCTGATGGATTTCTCCCTTCCTTATGAATCGTCAGCCCCTTGAAAAAACAAGCAAGCAAATGAAAATAAACAAATTACAAGATTTCCTACTTGTTGTTCTTAGTGGTCCCTGAATATAATCCATGATCAAGTAACTAGGCCTAGGACTAGGCTAACACTTTCTTGAGGCAAGAGGGTTAGGAAAAATTCAGAATTTCTCCCTTGAGTCAGAAGTTTCAACATTTTATAGCCAACCTTAATTTTTTTTATACAACCAGCTTAGGTATTTTTTGTCTCTTTGGGTTAAGGGAGAGTACATTAGGGTGTCATTAAGTAAAACACACAAGACTTAGGAGAAAAGAGTTACTATTGAGATGAATGAAGCTGTATTTTAAGACAAAAGAATGTAAAACTAGTAGTTCTTGTGACATTTCATGGGGAGATAACCTTCAATTCCTTTTATATACACTTTTAAATGTATACTTTCAGATCAAGGTATTGTGTTTATTTGTATTTTTATTTAACTTACTCATCCCATGCAAATGAATGACGTCCAGTGTTTTTCTTGGCATCTTGATGTTCTTCAGTGTTTCATACAAAGCTGTATTGTTTTCCAGGAGTCTCAGTTCTAAACAAATAGATACCGGAAATTCATTACAATGCGAAGCATTTGCATCGTGCAAATCAATAAAGCACAAGTGGACAATTCAGTAATGGGCATTGCATCAGGTTATAAACCTTGTGTTCAGTGGAACTGTTAAGACACTCTAAAGCCAAAGGAAATCCCACTATACTAAGTACCCCGGTACTCTTTACATACACTTTTCTAAAAAGCACAAGAATGATGAAATAAAAGAGAATACCTTTATCATTGCTGCTGCTATGCAGAGAATAGCGAGGGAGTTGAGGGCCTGTTAACATAATCAGGGGAAAATATATCTTAATACATTTTAGCATAGTATCCTTTTTTTCCCTAAATACATCACATTTTTCAAAAATGGCATTTATTACCATTTAACGTTGATAGAAATTTGATACCACTTAACTTTGATGGAATAAATATCACAGTGGATAAGGGGCTTAATAAATGTTAGCTGTTTATCCTCCCTTAAAATAAATGCAACTTGAGTGTGAGCGTGAGAAATAGTACCGGAAAGGCACAGGGCTCAGAGGGAAGAAGCAGGAAATGAACCTCTGGCCCTGTTGGTGCCTTGGGCACGTAATCATTTATGTGCCCAATTCCCTCATTTGTGTACTAAGCCATTGGCCCCCAAGGCGAGCTGCTAGGATTCCCTGCTCTAAACCCACAATCCTGGAGGACCACACAAGCAAGCCTCAGGCCCTCTGTCCCTCTCGGTGGAGCTACGGAGCCAGCCTCCCCTAGGAGAGGGCGGATTTCCCTCCTGCTACCCCCTGGAGGAGTCCTGAGCCTCGCAGCACATCTGCACAGTGCCTGACTTGGATAAGAAGTTCCTTCCTGGCAAGCAAAAGTGTTTTTCTCACCCTCCCATATCTTCACTATTTATCCCAACTGTGGGAGTTGCAGAGTGGAAGGTAATGTATAGAAAAGCAATTTTGTGAGCTATTTAATTTTCTGCATTTGGGGAATATTCATTTTTACCTTGATCAGGACCACAGCGAAGGCATTATATAGACCTGGGTTTGAATCCTGGCTTATCTGCGGTGTGACTTAGGACAACATATCGAGGCTTCAGTTTCCTCATATAAAATGAGGATGATATTATCTACATTATAGAGTTTTCTTAAGGATTAAACTTGATCACGAATCCAAAACTTCCAGCACAGTGGGTAGTATAAAGTACACGCCCAAAAAATGGTAACTGAAAACAGCCATAGTAAAGAGCCATAAAGAAAACTATGATAATAGAGAAACTAAGCTAGTAAAGAAAGATTTGGTTTGAAGACCTATTTTGGTTGGGAACAGTTTTCAGAATATCCACATTCTGTCATTTTGAGTTGTAATTTAGCACAGTGTTAAAGGGAGGGCTCAGGAGGCAGGGGCCTGTGTTTGAATTCTTTGTGCCTTTATTAGCTGTGTGATCTGTGGAAGTCACATTGCCTCTCCTTGTCTGGATTTCATCATTTATAATAAAGAAAACATTGATAACAATAGCAACAGAGGATAGAGCAGCGAGCAAGTGGGGTAATGGGCACCATCCACATAATGTTCTCACTTAAAAGGGCAAGTGCAAAAAATAATAAACCATTCCCAGTATCCTATATAATAAAATCTTAACATGCAAATAGACCAAACTATGAAATGATCAGTTGCTATGACCCACACTGACCAACAGGGGGCAGGTGCTCAACACAGGAGCTGTCCCCTGGTGGTCAGTGTGCTCCCACAGGGGGAGCACTGCTCAGCCAGGAGCTGGGCTCATGCAGCCTCAGTGGTGGGAGACTCTCACAGCCTCGCTGCAGGCGGGTGGTAAGGACGGAGGGGTCCTGGACTGAAAGAGCCCCTGACTCCGAGAGGGCTTAGATGATTTCAAGAACTCATCAGACTCAAAAAGAGAGAACTGAGCAGGGCAGAAAGAATGTTTCCTAAACTGGACACAGAAAGAGAGACTTCAGGGATGGAGATGCTGAGCCAGGAAGTAGTAAGAAGGTTGTCCAGAGAGAGGAGGGGCCGTCAGCTGGGAAGGGGTGAGTGGGGGGGAGGGGGGAAGGGAGGCAGCTCACAAGCGGAGGGATGGAGCTACTTCAGATGGACACTGTGGGTACCCACTGCTGCTAATCTCCCTCCCAGCGGTCAGGTCACACTTACCTGAACATCTCAGCTGATAGTACTTCGCCCCTTTACTAAATGATGCCGAATAGTACTGACACCTCTCTGGATCCAGCTCACAACTCAGACATGCCACGTTCGTGATGTTATTAAGTTGGATTCTGTAAAACCAATGGCGGAAGTTAAGTATTTGATTAAAGGATAAATGAAAGGAAAGAATTGAATAATGCCCTATTCCAGGAAATCAGAATGCCAAGGCAATCCTCGGAAACGTTTAAAAACCAAAACGATGCCTCGATTCCTAATAACCTCAAACCTCCCAGTGTTTGGAAATATCGCAAGACACCTAATAAAGTCATTCTCTTTTGTTGGCATGCAGATCGATTTATAAAGAAATAAAAGCATTTGAGAATGACTTCAGTTTAGTCTATTAATTAGGATAAGCCTCTCCCTTTCCCCTCTGCGCCCCTCCCCCCCAAAAAGAATCAAGGAAGTGTTCACCAGCTTAAAAGACTCAGGTGAACTTGATAGAATTCTTACTTATAAAGATTTCTTCCTCCTGGCATTCCTTTATATTCATTACTGATGTAGTATCTGGGAAGGAAGTAAATGAAGTGTTTATTAATTATGTTTTGAAGAAAAGTCAAGTACAGTGCATTTAACTCAACACCAAGCGTTAGTGCTCAGACATCAGTACTTGCCCTTCTTTCATAAGTTTTTCCCTGCCCCTGGCACCCCTAGCAGCCATTTTTTTTCACCATCAACTCTAAACTGGAGATTCTTTTTACTTAACGGACTAACATTATCTGAATGCAAGGTTTGCTCCCCCAACTAAAGTGGCAAGAAAAATCTCAAAGGAAGTATTTTGTAAGAAAAATGTAGCTGGGCAATGAACCTGAAGCGGAGACCCCATTTATCCCTGGTGTTTCCCATGTTTTCGAATTTATAACCCACTCCGAGAGGGCTGCAGCCCCATCCTCTCTTCAGGAGAGGTTCTGAAGAGAACCTTTGAAAACGGCTTTGGGCAGTGGCCACCTGCCAGAAAAGAATTACAAATGTGCCCGCGATTCTAAGGAAAATGAGCACCCCCTTCCCGCCAATGCGTGGTAGCTGACAACCTCTGCAAAGCTTTCCATTTTCCAGAGTAAGGCCGGGACACGGGCAGATAAAATATAATAGCTGCTCCAAGCCTACCAAAAAGTCAGTGCCAGTTGAACTGTAATGAAATGCCCCTGAATACTAGTTCCGTGTTCCAAGATGGTTAAGAAAAAGAGGCTACAGCTCTTCTAATGTAAAGCAGGTAAGAGCAAGAGGTAGAGCTGCTTGGTGGCAGAGCATCAAATCTGCTAAGCATATGTGAAAATCATTAAGGCTTCCGTATGTTGAAAAGAAAAAAAAAAAAATCTGAACTCATTCCAAACAGACTACTCTATTTGTATGAGATTCTTTCCCCCTATTTCTGGGCAAAGAGGGTGTGATTACGACGAGCATGTTTACCTCCTAGAATACTCACAGGTAATTGTTGGTGAGGGCTTCTATCTTGATGACTTCCCAGGTTCCGTTTGTAATAAATGTGCACTTTTGATGGGAATTAAAAAAAAAAAGAGGTTGATTAGACTCTTTCTAATCAAGGTTAAGGGGAGAAATAAATCTTTCTACCAGGAATTCAGATAATCTCAGGTCTTTTTCTTGGGTCTCCCACCCCATCCACCTTACTTCAGATGCCACCGAGAAATGGGAGTTAGTCTGATTATTTGTACACATGCATTGTTTTTTACAAAATGCCTTCCACTGCAAGTTGCTTTCAAAAAAAGAAAGATCAACCTGATATGAATTGTGTAAGAATACTTACTTCGTTATCTACTTGGAAATAACAAATGTGTTTGTAGCCCTCACTATTGCTCATGATCTTGTAGAAGCTATTCCCATCAGCGGTAAAATGAGGCTCTGCAGGCTTAAACTAGAAAAGAACAGAAAACAAAAAAACATGTTAAAGCACATTCCTCTTATCTCAGTCCCAGCTTTAGTTTTAGAAATGACAACACCTATGCTTGAAACCCAGGCTTCATTTACTTGCCAAATGAAACCAATTTTGTCTTGAAAGGAAATTCTCCTTCTAGAAAATGTAGACAAAAAGATCTAAGTCCTAGAGAATTCTTCTGTGGAGGAGTAAACGAGTGAATGCGCTTAAGGAAGCTTACATGGGATGCTCAATTGCATAGCAAGTGGTTACTGTTCTTGGACATCGCTCTTTGGAGCATAACGCTGACTTCTGGCTATAGGTGTGCAAAAAGTAGCATTAGCCTTCCGGTTTCAAGAAGTAAACACCCTCCGTGTCACAAATGTGTTTTCTTGAAACGGACTAATATCATTTTTTACTGTCTTTTACACAGATTTCCTTTTGAAAGCCAGATTTAGGAAGTCTTTAACTATTTCTGGACTAGATACCATAAGAAATGTGCCATGTATTTCAGTACAGAAACATTCATGAAATTACTTTATTATAAAGCGTCTTTATTTTGCTGAATAAAATCAAACAGTTTACAAAAAAATAGTTGTATGGAAATATAGAACAAAATTTCCTTTTTTTTTTTTTTTTTTTTTTACAGTTCAATAAAGATAGTTCTCCGAACATAATGTTGTTTTAAGCAGAAGAGTATCTACCGCAGCCTGAAAGGAATATATCACTTCACAACCTCAATTTCCTTCCTGCATTTGAGAGCAGGTAGGAGATGGCCTTTTAAAACTGTTGGTTTACTGCACCCTTGATGCTTCCTTTCTCATCAGCTCCCATTTGGGGAAGGAAGAAAAATGCTCCCAGGTTCTCCTTAGTGATTCCAAGCGAATTCATTTAGGGAGCAAGCTGAGGCGTGCAGTACACTGTTCTCATTACAGAGCTCTGAAACACATTCCCCTCTCTAGACCTGTGTTCACAGCCTTATCTTTTTAATACATTTCCCTGTTTCCCCTGGATGGAGTTGTGCCTAGAAGAAATGTGTGAAAAGTGGCATCTGTCTGGTTAAATACAGAGAGGAAAAAACATATTTTTTTCCAGAGAGTCGTGAGGAAGTGTAGCATGTCTCTTGCCATGGAGGAAACCACTTTTCATGTTGGCAAACCTCTCTCCTCTGCCCAATCAATGCCTGAAGAGAAAGGACGCGTGAATGCTATCGGAGCTCCCAGCCCAGCTGGAAGGGGCCATGCTCCTGAACCAGGGGGCCTCACATCCAAACCCGGCGAGATGTGAAGGCTTGGCATGCTTTGCATCACTTGGTTTTCTCTCTTAAAGAGGGCTTAACAGAAACGGCCATAAAGACTAGGTGACATTCAGTCTCCATCTTTCACGTGAGGTGCCACGATGGCTGGAGTTCCTTCATCCACTTGCTTCATTCCGTGGCTTACAGCAGCAAGGTTAGTGATTCTGCCCAAGGCCTACGAATTGCGATGGGAGTTAGAAGCCTGAGAAGTCTCTGAGGGTCACTGTGCTTTCTTGGGTAAAGCTCAGCATCTGGGGCCTATCCAAATGTCATCCACACGAGTATGATGTGCTCCAGAGAGAGCTGCATGTGGGTGTGACGCGCGTGCCACTGAATTTCTGCCGGATGTACAATGGTCACATCTCCTTCCACACTCGTGCAGGCCATGGATGCAAACCATGTTTTCTGCCTCTGAAACATGAGGTCAATGAGCACATTCAGCATCTTAGCTGCCTTTCACCAGTGATTGCTTTTAACACACAGGAAGGTACCAATGGTCAGCAAACTCACCAGTCAACAGAGACAAATATCAACAGTACGACGATTGAAATTTCTTTTGAGAGCCAAATTTTTTAAACTTAAACTTCTTCTAATGCCACTTCTTCAAAACAGATTTCGCCCAGGCCATGGTATTTTGTGGAAGAGCCACATTCAAGGGGCCAAAGAGCCGAATGTGATCTGAGAGCCGCAGTTTGCCAACCACGGGCCTAGAGTATGTGTCTTGCTTTGTCTGCTCATCATTATTGCTTCTCTGCCTTCTGGCTAAGATCAAGTGTATGCTTCTTCATTGATTTTCTATTTGTCCTCTTACTTTTTTCAACTGAGTAGAGTATGTTATCCTTGTCTATAAAAAGATGTCTCTGCAGGGAGCATGTAAATATTTTGAGACATGTAGACACATATCTTTATTATTAGCAAGTAACCTAGGGCCCTTGTTTGGTATATCTGCATATGAAATAGCTCTGAATATCTGAGACATACAAGAGAAAAACCCATAACTCTTAAATACTTACTCTTCCAACCCAGCCAGTAGCACTCGTTTCAATATGTTGCCGTGGCTAGGATGGAAAAAGACAAAGTCAGTGTTTTAAAAATAAGTGAGATAGAAATTCAAGTCTTTAGTCCTAATTTGTGGTAATAGAAATAAAATTGCATTTATAATAAAATAATTAAAACATTCTGCATTCGTATATTTGTATCTGTGTTAGTATTTTTTTTTAATCTGTGTTAGTATATTTGTATCTGTGTTAGTATAATTATATAACTTACCTCTCTTACCTAGAGCTCTGTTCTGGGTCCATACCCACCTGCTGTCCTGAAGCTCTACCTGCATTTCAATTCAACATGCACAGAACTGGGGAAATCCTCATTATCTTTCCTCCATCCTGACCAGCTTGTTCTTACTCCTTCATTCTTCTCCGAGTTCAAGCATGTCAAATTCAAAGGCTAACACCAGCCAAATAAAAGAGGCATGTGGCCTTCGAGACGCGAGATTGACATGCTTGTCCTAGTGGCGGATTCATCCAAGCCATAGATGTGGGAATCACTCTAGACTCCTACTCTTCTGAGGTGACAGTCACTCCCTCAGCCCCTGCCATGTAGTTCTTTGACTTCACTTGTCCTTGTCCACCGCCACTGCCCTAGTTTATGGCCTCAGGCTTTCCTTGGTACATTGCGCTGATCTCTTGGTTGGAGACCCTGTTGTTCTTCTCTCCACCTCTTCAACCCCCAGCCTACCTCATTTGGCAACAGATAGTTCTATCTCACCATCATCCTTTCCTATTTAAAATAGCTCTCATGTCTTTAAGATATGTCCAAAGTCCCCAGAATGGCACCAGAGTCTTATTCTGGATCTCTAACTTCAGTGCTCTCCATTGTCCTTCTCTCCCAACCTTAGGCCTATGTACCTCCCAACCTTGCATGCTCCAACCTATTCACACTGCACAGCCTCTACTCTTAGGGCCTTTATACCTTTATCCCTCTGTGTCTGCTCTCAGTCAAGTTGATCATATTCCTTTGCTCTACATTCCTTGAGCCTTGCTTATGCCCTTCTAAGGTATAATACTCTGATATTGTATGGTTTAATTGGCAGGAAACAAAAAATGTAGGTTTTACACTGTATGTTCAGGTTGTTGCGTGACCTTAACCAGCTCCCTAACCTTACTGAGCCTCAATCTCCACAGTAGGTAGCTACTGTGAGTGTTCAAAAAATGCTAACGATTACTATTGATTTTTCTAATAGTAATGGTGTTCCTTACTAGAACATAAATATTTGAGGGGGGAAAGCATACTGTCCAATTATTTTTTTCCCTTTTAAAAAAATATCCAGTGCTTAGCACAGAGCTTCAAAAATAATAGACATTGAGTGTTTGTTGCATTAAGAAATGAATGAATGAGTCAATATACTGAGTGCCCAAACTTTCTGAGGTGAGACTCTGTCCTTCGCTCAATCAGGATGGGAAAAGCAAGGGATGGTGTTTGATTACCAGAAAAGCAGTTTGTAAAGATGTCCCTGACATACAAGCAATCCTCTACCAGGCTTTCTCTCCCTAGGGGACTGGCTTCCAAAGGGGCTTTAGTTCTGATCCACCAGCCTGGCTGTATCTGTGGCCTCCTGGCTGAACAACTCCAGCCCTCCCATCCCCTGTCTCCCCTACCCGGCACCTCATAGTTGGGTCAACACTTTCATTTGCTTCAATGTTGCCACTCTCAGACTGATAGTTATCTAAATTATAAAACTGTTTACTGCTTAAAGAAAGTCATGGTATGGTATAGATGTGTAGCCTTTTGATATTTGTGTATATATATATATATATATATATATATATATATATATATATATATTCAGCCCATCATTCCCCATTCCATGTATTTTCTCGTTTGAAACACACTTTATTGACCACGCAGAAAAGTAGCCCTCTGGTACTTTTCAATTTTGACATCAAATTCTATCTTCTGGGTTTCCAATCACCGCCCTTCCCAAGTGACAATATCCATCACTAAAACAGCATGACTCGTGAGTGAAGGTGAAATAGAAGCACCACCAGATATCACATTAGAGTATCTAAAAGTTGGTCAATACTTACTACCTCAGGGTCAGACAAAGAGTTGGAAAGAACAGAAACTCAAACTTCACTTCCTGATGCCCAAACATTCCCTCACTCCCGGTTTTCACACAGCCCTTTGCGGATGACATGTAGCTTTAGAAGTGGAACATCCCATCAATCTTACCACTGAGCAATTCCATTTGCTAGTGGGCGCATCATAGTCACAAATATCTATTATTGCATAGTTCTGAGTCCTCCGGAGCCACTGCAAAGAAATCCTTTCTTTGGTTGCCCAGGTCACGTCACATAAGTAGTGATCCCTGGAAGAAAGGAAGGAAAAAGGGGAGCATACTTATTTCCAGATCTTGGTACATTTAGACATTCTACTCAATGCAATGAATCTTAATGGGAATACAATTTTAAATGGCTGTTGAAAGCATTTAATACCATTGGGAATGAAAAAGAAACCCCACAGGGTGATCTGATCATAAATTCCTAACTGGTTATGGTGGATAGTCATACTTGAAGTCTATAATGTCTTTAGTAAAAGATCTATTATTTTATTTTTATTTTATTTTTTTGCCTTAAGCAAGCTCTGTGCATTATTTTAGTGCATGTAGGTAACACAGCTTTGAAATGTCTCCTTTTAGACCCCTCAGGAGTAAAACCACCCTCAAGAGAGCACATAGTCTTGTTAACTATCCTGTAATCCAGTGTTTCCCAAACTTTTGACATATGTGTACCCCTTCTATAATTTTCATAACGCTGAGTACCCCTCGTACTCATGAGAACATAGAATTAGGCACAGCTAAGCACGGTGCAGTGCATATCCCCACCAAACTCTGGTGCAACGCGTACCCCCACCAAACTCTTCCCGCACCCTTGGGGGTATGCGTACCACACTTTGGGAAACACTGCATCCTGCCTTGCTCCCTCCACCCCCCACTTCACATAGTCCTCCCCACTTAATTTAAATGTATAAAAGAAGCTGCAAACTGCCAAACTCCAAAGCATTTCTTTCAGTCTGGTGAAATCTTCCAAGTGAAGCCTCTGTTTGACTCAAATTATTTTTCCTAAAAATTTTCTACAGGTTATAACAATACCATAATATTATACCTTTGTTAAAGCTCAAAGTGTAATTTAAAAAAAATATTCTTATTGATTTTTTTTTCTTTTTTTAGAGGGAGAGGCAGGGAGAAGGAGAAAGAAACATCAAATGAAACATAAATTAATTGCCTCCCATACATACCCTGGCTGTGATAAAACCCAAAACCTGGCATTCCTGTGCATAGGACTACGCTCAGCCAGCTGAGCCTCGCTGGCCAGGGCAAGTGTAATTTAATTTTAAATAGAAATTAAAATAAATCTGACAAAAGAAAAGCAGCTAACATTAGATGGCAGTTAGCATATGTGACCCACACCATGGCAGGATATTTCAAGTCTCAGGTTGGCCTTTGGTGGCTCCAGGGAGTCAAGGGTGACATTTTCTCATCACGTGTCTCTCTTGTGGGAACGTTACCATGAGGCCAGTGACACTGACTGAGTTTGGAGTATTTTCTGGTAATTTGATGTGCTTTCCTAGAAAATTTTTATTTGGTTGAAACCACAGCTGATCTTTTTCTCAATGTCGTTTTTAAAAAGGGAAAAGATTGACTCATATCTCTACAAACTTTGAAAATAAAATATATTTATGCTTCCTCCATAAAAGCTCTGAAACCTTCCCTTGCTCTTTCCTTCACAGGCTCTGCCCATCCCTCCTCTGACATTTAGTGGACTGGAAGCTCTCTGAGGCAGGGCACAGCTGTCTTGTTTGCAAGATATATCCCCAAGGCCTGGCAGAATACCTGCATGAACCAAGCACTCACTGAAATTCTGAGGAACACAGCACTAAAGAAAGGAGAAAAAAATGCTATGTAGACCTTTGTGGCCTAAACAGCTTTCCTTCCGCAGAATTCACAGGTCACTTCCCTGTGCCATTCCCTTTATAGATATTAAATCAAATAACAAACATTTATTGAGCACTTAGGTTGGATCAGGTGCTGGATTAAGCACTTTAAATCACTCACCACTTCCCTAACCCCTTTTTACAGCTGGGGACACAATGTGTTCATGCAGCTTGGATAGCAGGGCCTCTAGGTGGCAGACACTGAAGGAAGACCCAACCCCTTCACCCTGCAGCAAAGCACTACATTCCCCCAAGCAGGGACTCCCCTACACTTCAAACTTTTCTCGTATTAAGAATATATATTCAGCCGAAACCGGTTTGGCTCAATGGATAGAGCGTTGGCTTGGGGACTGAGAGGTCCTGGGTTCGATTCCGGTCAGGGGGCATGTACCTTGGTTGCGGGCATATCCCCGGTGGGGGGTGTGCAAGAGGCAGCTGATCGATGACTCTCTCTCATTGATGTTTCTAGCTCTCTATCTCTCTCCCTTCCTCTCTGTACAAAATCAATAAAAACATATTTAAAAAAAAAAAAAGAATATATATTCAGCCCAGTTGGCATGGTTTAGTGGTTGGGTGTCCACCTATGGACCAGGAGGTCAAGGTTCAGTTCCTGTTCAGGGCCTATGCCTGGTGGCCAGGTCAGTCCCCAGTAGGAAGCATGCAGGAGATGGCCGATCAATGATTCTCTCACCATGGATGTTTATCCCTCTCTCACTCTCCCTTCCTCTTTGAAATCTATTTTTAAAAAATCTTAAAAAAAAAAAAAAATGTAGAGTCAGACCTAGCTAGTTTGGCAGTTAGAGCGTCGCCCCTCAGAAGGTTCCATTCCAGGCCAAGAGCAGGTACCTTGTTTACAGATTTGTCCCTGGCCCCTGCCAGATTATGTGCAGGAGGCAACCCATCAATGTGTCTCTTTCACATCAATGTTTCTCTCCCCTCCCCACGCCCCCATCTCTCTTCTTGTAAAAAGTCAATGGAAAAAATATCTTCAGGTGAGGATTAAAAAAAAAAAAAAGTACATTCGTCATCTCATCTGCAGGGCTGGTATTCCTAGCTGCCCGGCTTTGTTCAGCCTGTCCTTCAGTCTGAAACACCTGCCATGCTCTAACTCCTTTATTTACTTAAACATCCCCTGTCCATGATGGTTTCTAGGAGACTCCTCCTACACCACTCAGTCGCCAGGTTGCAGGGTCTGAGCGTGCAGATGTTTCTTCAAATATCCCGGAGCAAGGGTGCCCCATCTAGTCTGATTCTTCATTGTGCCCAATGCAGAGGTGCCACATGAGGAAAAGGAAATGCAAATAAACCTGACAGGGAATAAAAACACTTGGAAAGGGAATGGAAGAGTGTGACACAAAATAGAAAAAAATGGAACTTTTTGAAATTAACCTTTTAGGCTAGGGATCAGAAAACTTTCAGGAAAGGACCAGATAATAAAAATTTAAGCTTCCTGAGCAATATTCCCTCTGTCACAACTACTCAACACTGCCTTTCAGAGACAGAAAATAAACAAATGAGTGCGGCTGGGTTTTGTGGTGGCAGAAGGCAGGCATGAGCAGAGCAAGGATAATGGGCCAGGTACAGAAGGTCACCAGGAAGGAAAGCCCTGAGTGCCTAGCAAAGGGCAATTGTAGGGTAGGACCTCACCCCCAGGGTGACCTTTCCTCCCCTCTCATATCACTGGTCATGCAGTTTAGACTCCCTGACCTTTCCTCCCTAGAGATAACATCTAGGCCTGTGTGTTTCAGTTCCAGGCTCAGAAAGCAGCAAAACCAGACAATGATCCCACAGCTGACTTCAGGTCCAGCTGCTTTAGATAATAACCCCCTGCCCTGGCTCTGACCCTGAAAGGACAGCTAGACCCGGAAAGCTGCTGAATATTCTACTGAGATTTTACCCTGGGCCCTTTCCTAAAATTTCTACCCTTAAACCCCTTTGGATGGAGGACTCAGTGTGTTCTCCCTCCCCAGAGCACGCCTTCTCCTTTTGCTCTCCTCCCTGCCTCCCCCAACCCCAAAACGTGTCACCGTATCTTCCTCACCTCTAAGTTCTAAGGGCCTTTCCTTTGCCTCTATAACTTGTTTCCTCAGCTCATTTCTTCTATGAATTACTTCTTCTACCTTTGTGGTTTTCTAAATAAATGTTCTTTTATAGTTGGAGTCTAAGATCTGAATTCTTTCTTAGCCAGAAAACAGATACCAAGGTTGCTGAACCTAGGTCTGGCCTAAATCTACTGGTCTAGCACCTAATGCCATTCTTGCCACCCCCAATAGTCCCAAAGAAATGCTGACATTTGAAGTTCATACAATTTTTACATATAATGAAGTATAATGCTTCATTTGATTTCCCCCCCCCCCCGCCCCAACTATTCAAAAATGTAGTTATTCAAACTTGCAGATCATACAAAATGGTCAGGGAGGTAGGACTTGCCCAGCAGTATGCTCTATACAAGTAGTTCTCACTGTTCTAGGTAAAACATTCTATGTACATGTGATTAAAATTATATACCTTTCTCTAGGGGAGAAAAACATCTCCACACCCATGTATTCATGCAATTTCCAAGGGTTCCATGGGACATCCGTTAGGAACCTGAGCTCCAAGAAGAGCCTTCCTTTTTCTACATTGGCCTGGTCGGGGGAGGGACAGACAACCGGGAAAGAAGCTCTTACATGATTAGTGGGTCACCTGGTACTGAATGCTTTATCTACTAACAGCTGTAAATTATGCTTTCGTGTTCAAAAATCAGTCATAGAAACTTTTCCCCATTTGAAAACACTGAGCAATGGAATTCGGGAATTCTGCCAGGAAGCTCACATGCATTTGGCATCTTCCCTGCCCGTTTCTAGATCAAAGGTTCATGAGCCTGAATCCTCCATTACCTTTGTCACCCTCCATAGCCACAGTGTACTCTGCACCCTGGGAGTGCCCGGTGAGATAATTCACCAGCAGAGCAAGCAGTAATTTTTGAATTACTTAAGGTATACACATTTCACTTCAATCATAGTTCCTATTTAGGATTTGGAATTAGCAGGAGACAGAATAAGAGTGCATATCCCAGCCCAGAGCTGAGAACATGACAGGACCAGATGTCAGTGAGTCATGAAAAAGATATAAAGGAATCCAATGGTTCAATTGTATTTTTTACCGAAAGGTTGACATTTCCTTTTAAATCTAAAAAAAACCAAAAAACAAAAAAAAAACAACAACAAAAAAAAACCAACAAGCAGGATCATCAGCTATATTTTCCACTCCATGCTGATTTTATTCTGCAAAAATCAGAGAGGCAACTGTGGAGTAGACTAGTTAGGTTGGGGGAGGGGTAGAAGAGGGACTGTGCAGGCAGCCTGACTTCCCCTTGAGACAGTGACTGCCCACCCCAGATTTGACCTAGTGATTCATCCAGCTCTTCTCACTTCTGGAATGGGGTTAGTACAATGGGGACTAGGGAGCAATGGAGTAATTTCTGGACATAATAATAGGTTACACCCATGTGGAATCCACTATGTGCCAGGAACTGTTTAAGTGCTCTCTTGACACCACTGTACGTGGCAGGAATATTAGAGTTCATGTTTCGCAGACATGGAAATGGCAGTGCAGAAAGGCTAAGTAACTTGCCCAAGGTCATGCTCTGGAAAATGTTGGAGCCAGAATTCAAACTGAGCAGTTGGCTTCAGGTTCTCTGTGTCCAGTCGCTCCCTCTGTAGAACTTCTACCCATCCCTCTGGTAAACACTGCTAGCTTCACCTTCTTCCTTCTTTTCAGGATAAAATTCCTTACTCTAGGAAATCTATCTATTCCTAGAGAGTGTGTGAAAACTGAACAACTGAATTTGACAAAGCAAATCATATTTGAATGCACTGGGAGAGACTTGCTTTTGAAAGTCACACTACAGGGAATCCCTTGGTAAAGTGACTGCTGCCTTGCAAACAGTAGGCATTTAGTAAATGTCTGTTGAGTGACATTAATACCCCTAACTTGTATAAATGTTTCTTTTGGTATATTAAAGATGCTTAAAATAAGGTACACATTACTAACTGGGAAGAATATTGGAGAGAAAACTGCTACTAAGAGCAAGTGCAGACGGTGCCGTGATTAATTCAGCAAATCACCCAAGGAAGCGGGCGTCCTGCCAGTGCTGGCCGTGGGCTCCATGCCACCCTCTGCTCTGACAGAGATGCCAACCCTCCCCGGGGCCGCTGACAGATCGCTGAGGAGAGGAATGGGTGGGGTGAGATGGAGCAGATCTGAGCTCCTTAATCTGCCTCCTTTCTTGGAGGTATCACCAGCTTCCAAGACGCTTCAATCCAGTTCATTCATCTCCTGCATGACAATCCCAGATCATCTTGTTCCTGCTTTACAGACCAAGGGTCATCAACTGTTCAGAGGAGACATAGCAAGTCTATCTATGATGTCCCTCAGGAGCAGAGAACTGGGTGGGGCAGGTCATGAACTGGGTGTGATAGGTCCCCTGAGCCATTGAACAGATGTTGGGTTGGGTCACCTCAGTAGAACTCTCCCTAATCCTCCAGCTTCACGCCGCAGCTTTTTCAAATGACTGAGAGGAGACAGAACACTGGAAATGCTGTGCCAGGTCATTTTGAAGGTCACCTTTGATGCCGGCTGTACAAACTATTTTGCACTCACAAAGTCACATGTAAACTATACTTTCTATTCACCCATCCATGCATTAACTCTACCCATTTATTCTATAAATATCAACGGGGTATTTGCTATGTCTGAGGCAGCCTGCTAGGCACTGGTTATATTAAAGATTGGCCCCTACCTATAGTACTCATCTTGCTTCAATTCAGCAATGTGAAGCATGGCTCTAAGGAAAGCAGTACGGAAGGAGATGGGTGATTTCACATTATATGTTGTTTTCTCCCAAATAGTCTGAGCTTTCAAATTCCCAGCATGAGTAGTCAATACAAAAGCACAGCTTAACAAATCCAATTAACTTGCATTCTAAATCAGGGAAGGTGGGAGGGAGGCTCCCCCTGATTCCGATTCAGGCTTGGGCCGCTGGCAGAGTGCCCTGGATGCCCTTCTCACTTGCTATCAGAGCAGCCCATTCCTGACAAGCTGCAAACCAGCCTTATCTCCTGTAGGATTGCACCTGCTGGAAGCTCGGTGGTGAAAGGTCATGGCCTCACCGGAAAATTAGTGATGGGCGCATGGGCGGAGGAGGAAACAATCATGCTGCTCCTGGCAGATGTCCCACTCCGGGACCTGGGACTTACTGGGCAATGCAACACAGGGTGCTAGGCAGTTTGCTGAGAGGCATACATTGCCTGGGTTTACTTGGCTTTGCCGGATCTCTTGTGTGAGGCCAGAAAACGGAGCATGACCATGTGTTAGAATGTTTTCCATAGACATGATCTCAAGCCTAGCTTTAGTAAAGCTGTGTCCTTATTGGTATTAACAGAGACCAGAGCTAGATTTTCATTTTCCTATCTTATATATCCTGTGGAAGATATAATTCTTTGGTAAAATATGTTCCACACAAATATCTCCATGGAGTGAGGCAGCCCTCACTGTAAAGCATGCTGTAAAGAACTATAAAGAACAACTACAAAGAACTACAAGGGGTGAAAAATAAATCCTTAGAACTACTGAAGTTTCCTGAGCTTAGAAATTCACTCCAGTGATTTCCAAGTGGGGAGGACTCCATCTCTTCGTCTGTGAAATGCCCATGAAAATTACACCATAGGGAGTATGTGGAAAGTAAGTGATCAGACACCCAGCACAATCCCAGCCCATAGGAAACACTCAATATATTCTGGTCTGGCAAGTGCTGGCCTCTGTATCATTACCAGTTCCTACACTAACTTGCTGTGTGACCTTGGCCAAATGAGTCTACCTCTCTGGACTTCAGTTCTTTCACCTGTGTCTCACAGTGGTGTTCTGGAGCCCCAGCAGGTTCTGTCTAATTGCCTGAGACTCGGGGGGCTAGGAAAGGGGATGAGGACCAGGCCTGCAACCTGTGCAGCTTCCATTTTCTGACTCTGTACTACTATCTCACTTGAATAGTTTTCTGGGTTTTCAAAAAAAAAAAAAAAAAAGTTTTCCAACCACTGGTGAGGTCTAAAGCTCCTTCTATATCTACTACATATAGTTTTTTTATTATTATTATTATTGATTTCAGATAGGAAGGGAGAGGGAAAGAGAGATAGAAACATCAATGATGAGAGAGAATCATTAATCAGCTGCCTCCTACTGGGGATTGAGCGTGCAACCAAGGGAATCAAACTGTTGACCTCCTGGTTCGTAGTTTGATGCTCAACCACTGAGTCGCACACCAGCCGGGCTCGATGTAATATTTTTTCAGAGCAGACGCTCATGGTTCATCCTCCCCTCAGACAGTTACTGGCTGTACACCAGGTGGTCACACCAGGCCCTGCTGCCCTTGGGCAGCCCCACACTTTCCTGTGCGGCTCCTCCAGCTTCAGTGCTCTTCCTCCCCACTGTGCCCTGCGGTAACCCTACCTGTTCCATCTGCACAGTCTTTGATTGCTGGGGTCAGGAAAAACCCAGCTCTCCCCCACTCCCTCCAGAGCGCCTCCAGCCTTTTGTTTATGCCTCTGTCACATTTGCTCTTGGCGTCATTTATGGGAATGTTTTATATCCTCTACCTGATCGTAAGTAAGTCTTAGAAGAGCAGAAACGCACGCTGAGGACCTTTGTGTGTGTAGATAGTGGGTGCTCAATCAATGCTGATGGAAGAAATGGCCAGATGGGACCAAACACCAGGTTTTAGAACCACTGGGCAATGTTTTTATACCCTTGGACAAACTCAGGAAAAAAAAAAAATTATTTTTAAATTTACCAGTAACTGGTCTCCCTCCAAAGAGGTTCATATAAATATGTCTAAACAAATTCATAAATTAGGAATTGCAGAGCAAAGCCGACAGCATGCCTGATTTGGTAAATGCAACCCCTGAGAAAGCAGATACTACATCTTACTCTGATGACAACGTCAGGAACCTGAGGGCACCACTCGAATTCGCACAGAAGGAGGCACCTAGCAGAATGCTTACAAACGCTGTTCTCTAAGGCAGAAAGACACTTTTGAATATAAAATCCTACCTGGTCATTTTCTTAATCTCTATGACTCATTTTTCTTATCTGTACCACAGGCTTGTGACAACAGTTGCTGGAAAGAGCTACTTTGTTGTTTTTTTAATTGATTTTTCACGGAGAGGAAGAGAGAGGGATAGAGAGCTAGAAACATCGATGAGAGAGAATCATCGACCAGCTGCCTCTTGCACACCCCCTACTGGGGATGTGCCCGCAACCAAGGTACATGCCCTTGACCGGAATCGAACCCGGGACCTTTCAGTCCGCAGGCCAACGAAGAGAGCTACTTTTGACAGTACCCTGCGTTTGGCACATAGTGAGTGCTCAAAATATGTGTTATTATTTAAAAGTAACAACCAAGCCAATATAGATAAGAGAAATGAAGAAAGAGAAACTTGATAGCCCTAAATTGCATGCCATACGGTGGCTATCTTTACAAGAAAATAATAAGGGGTAGAGGGTGCTCAATAGAATTTCAAACCACCAAGGATTATTTAAGCAACTGACATCCTCAGGCACATCAGCATCATGAGGCTCCTTAGACTGAACCCACAGCTGCCCTGCATTTTGCTAGTTTTTAAAAGGACTTGGAAAGCCTGTGTGACCTGGCCCGTACTCCCAGCACTCTCCTTCTCACTCAGGATGCTCCGGGCAGGTCCTTTAGTGCACCAGGCATGTGCTCTCTGCAGGGGCCTTCCGCTTACTCTTCCTCTGCCTGGATTCGGAACCCCTAGCTATCCACGTGGCAAGACCCACCCCACCCCTTTCTTCACATCAGTGCTCACAGGCCATCTCTTCAGAGAGGCCTTCCCCAACACTCCTCTCCCCGCCCCCCACCATTAGCATCACCCTCTCTTTGTCCTGCTTTGCTTGTCTTCACAACATCTGTCACCACCTGACATTTTATATAATTTGTTTCCCAGGTCCTTGTCCGCCTCTCCCACATTGAGTATAGGTTCCATGACACTAGAGCCTCTGTGTGCTCTATTCATTGTGCAACAATGTCTCTGCCCAACACAGAGACATCAAGTGTGGTCAACAAAGAGTAGCTAAGTGAAAGAGTGAATGACTGCCAGCCCGGGTGATACCATGGGAGGATACCATGGAGTCTGATATTCATTTTTTAAATTTTCTCCTTGGGAGCTATGCCACTACCTACTCATTTGGGTTGAGTCTTACCCTATTAACACAGAAGCAGGAGCAGTGATTTGCACAGGAACGAGATTGGTGAGGTTGTCAGTATTAACAACGTAGAGCTTTACAGTGGGATTCTCAGCTCCTGCCTAGGAAAAAACAATCACAGGATTGGTATTGACAAAAAAATACATCACTGCACAAGTTTAAAACTGTACAAAAATACCTGCATTACAGCCGTACAATTATAACAATCAGACATAGTCAAACAATTTAATGTAGATAAAATGAACATAAGGGAGGGTCATGAAATGCAACCTTTTCATGTTCAGTGAGAAATATATATAGACCCCAAACACTCCTGTTTAATTAATAAACACTCATAATTTATGCATACTTTATGCAAATGAGGACACATTTCTTAAAATCGTTTCTGATATTTTGCAAATATATCATGACTCCAGAAGACAAGAAGTCAACTGGCTGACCACTAGGAAAAATTCCTTGGGTTCAGCCAAAGACACAATCCACCAGGAAACTTAGTTTCCCTGAACCAAGAGCCAATAATGCTAATTAGAAAGCTGTCATTTTCACTCCAAATTCAGGTTCACCACTTTGGAGTTTTACAATAAATAGATGACAGAAATCTATAAAGCCTTCTTATATATATACACATAGATCCTCAACTGACAAATTAGCTAAAAATAATGTATTTTTAGTAAGAACATTTTATGGTTTGTTTGTTTTTTTTGCCAGTTTCACTCATCAAAAAATTACATTTCACTGAAAATACATCTCCATATTTAGTCTCTGATCTTTTTTTTCTCTGTCTTCCTAAAATGGCAGCTCTTCATAAAACAAATTGAGAGCGTTGGTAAAAATAAAAATCCCTTTTTCCAAATTGCTTACAGCAAAACAACACTTTGCTATTAGATTTTCCTATGGACAACACGGCGGTCATTATTATTATGATGCTAGTGAAGAATTGTGGTTCCCATCTCAATTCCCCTCTTCCTTAGCTTACACCCCTAAAGAAAGCTTTTCAATTTTCATAAACATGCATCCGGAGAGGGGGGAAGAACAGCCTTGAAAACCAAGACATGACACTATTATTCCAAATGTAGGATGTGTGAAATTAGCACTAGTGCCAAATCTATAATAGAACCACTAAAACTAGTCATGTATCTGTTAATTAGTAATACAACCTGATATATAATCAAGCTTTTCAACTTCATCTAGGGCACATTCCAACTTCCACAAATGAGATGAGCTTGTGATTCAATTATAGCCTCTCTTTTCCTCCATTCAAACATTTTCAGTCCCCCTACCTCTTTCAAAAAGCATTTCCCCCATCTTTTTCGGCTTGTCATTCCTCAAAGTTTTTGGAGAAATTACAAAACCTTAAATCACACTCTTTCCTGGGATAATAAAAATACTTTAAAATTGCCAGATGCTGTTGACTTCAGCAAGAGTAATCACAGCAAGCTGTTGAAGAGAGACTGACAATATTTTCATTAGCAGGAAAGGATTAAATGAAACCATTCTCTTCCCATCAAATCGCAGAACCGCTATATGAATAGGAGCACAGACCTTTGGGTATGGAAGGTGCACCGTCTTTGGATACTGCAGTGACTCGTCAAGGTAGACAGAGTATTCAATACGTGGGACTTTGGTGTCGTTAAACCGGGCATATGCTAAAAATGTGCCGTTGGGAGACCACCACAGAGCCGAGTGGGTATTGAAGATTTCCTCTGAAAAGAGACATAAATTGTTCTGTTACAAGAAGTAGACGATAAATTGGCTTTGGCATTCAAAATATTGTGCTCATTAGCTTTAGTAATTACAGTAGAGTTCAACTAATGAACCACGTTGCATGTGCTGGGCTTCCAAAACCAGAGTAATACAAATGAATAAAAATAAAATCTTCAAGGATAGATCTGTGCTATAAAAATAAGTAACCCGTTGGACTGTTTTTAGAATATTTTAGCACATAATATTTAATATAAGCGCTACATGTTTTTCTTTATCTTATAATCCTCTAAATGTATGCTGCAAAACATACTCAAAAGTACATTTCACACAAGGGGCTGATTCTCCTTTCTCGTTTTCAAACCATCAACATGCCGGCGTACTCTCCCCAGTTGGGTGGGTGGTGTGTGGCTCCATGCTATTAAAACCAATATGGTGCCCAGAGTTTACTGCTCTTGGCACAAACAAGGTGTGGGAAGGATCGACTTCAGAGTGGTGAGGAGCTCCATGAGACTCCTACTCAGAAACATCTCCTAACCTGAAGAAACCGAAGACTCCCTTTGGATGAATGCCCTCCTCTAATGTATGAAATGATGGGTGAGGAAAGAGGGTCAAAGAGGAATGCAAAGGAAAGAAAAAGTCTTGACTCCCAGAACACTATTGGCCTCACTCTCAATCTCTGACAAAGGTAGAGCCTTCCTGTGTTCATTATCAAGTCCGCTCACGGGACTTCCAAGCACTAGCTGTTAGAATGCCAGAACCTCTTTTATCAACGGGGGATGGAGGATTCAAATAGACTAGACAGAGACTCCTAGTTCTTTGCACAGATTTAATCCACAAATCTTATGTTCTGAAGTGAATATAAAGGTAAAAACAAAGGCATAGAACCTTGAATCTTAGAATTAGGAAACTATTTATCCCAATCACTTTTCTGACTCCTGGAACTTCCTTACAAGTTTCTTCCAAATGCTTTTCAATAATAGCAATAATGATAGTACTAGTTACAGTATTAAGAATAACAATAATAAAATACAATAATAATTAAGATGAGCAGCAGCATATAATGAATGCACTAGGAATTGATAAGCAACTGACATCTATTATTTCACTTAATCCTCATGATAACTCATTGTGCAGATGGGCAAAGGGAGGCAGTTAGGCTTGAAGAGAATAAGTAATTTGTCGAGGATCACGCAGGCAACAATTGATAGAATCAAGAATAAATCCAGGCTTATTTGATATGAGTCCATGCTTCTCATTTCCATGCTCTGCTATTTCTTCCTACCTATTTCAGCACCTCAAGTAACAGAAAACCTTCTTCTTGGTAAGGAAGCCTGCTCCCCCTTTGACTGCTTTATACCTTTATTGTTTTATACCTAACACTTACCTAATTAAGTCTTCACAAAGATCCATGGGTGAGTCTATTCAAGGACTTAAGATGTAAGCCTTGTGATTCTTACTGAGACTTACTCAGACTCACTTGCTCTGAGCTCTAGCACGGGGGCAGCAGCTCAAAAGGCACCAGGTATATACAAGGATGGACTGAATTGTCTGGCATCGGGGCAAGAGCTGGAGGGGCAACTTTGTCAGAAATATTAACAGAGGCCACTGTTTCTTTGATGAGTCCTGCTCCCACAGAGCTGGCAGGTGAGCAACATATCCGAGTCTCTATCAACCTGGCTCACACTGTTTGCCTCACCCTGGTGAGTCCCTGAGACCTGCCCCACCCAACTTGCAGGGTCAGCTTTTCCATACGAATGGCCTGACTTGCCTCATACTTCAGACTTTCCTAAAACTCTAAAACCAGCAGCATCTGGCCTTGGCATGCCCTGTACCTCTTGCTACATGGCCTCAGGCCTGGCACTAGTGATAGCCAGCCTTGGTTGGCAGCTTGGCCTCTTATGGGCACCTTCAAATCCAGTACAAGTAGCAGACATCTGCAAATTGCTTTGTAGCACATAACTGGTGGTGCCAAGCTTGGTGGCTGACCTTGGCCAGCACCTGCCAGGAGGCTCCAGAGGCAGCACACCAGAACCCCTCAGGGGATATTGGAGAGCTGGTTTCAGCCTGATCCAGCAGGCCATTAGCCTCAGGAGGGCACCAGATGCAGGGCTTATGGCTGGTGAGTGCTGCTGTGGACTGATTGGGCAGGAGCTTGAGGCAGGCACAGTGGGGCTCGGATGAGCGAGAGTGGCAGGTTGAAGCTGCAGGTGGTATTGGACTGTGGGTTTTGGCCCCATCCCCGCAGGCCACCCCGAGGGACCCCACCTATGCACAAATTCATTCACCAGACCTCTAGTAAAAATAATAAAATACTGTACAATAATAATTAAGATGAGTAGCAGCATATAATGAAAACATCAGAAACTGATATTATTTAGTGCAGGGGTGTCCTTATTTTACACACAGCCTTCCTGAGGAAGGGTTGGGACAAGCTTTGGGAAAGGGCTTTACGCTGTTGACACTGGGGATCCTGGAAGCTGTGCTGTGCTGTCCACCAAGAGTTGAAGATGTTTCCAATTTCCTAGTAAATTTCACTGTAAGTTTTAATCAAACACTTATTTCTGAACCATGAGAATTCATCTTTCTTTTAAAGTAACTTTTTTTCTAAAGAATGTTATTCATTTAATTGAACTCGACTTGAACTGGGAGACAACCAACATTAGGCTATGAGGGAAATTACTTTTTTTTTTAACTATGAAGAAAAACTAATAGGATGAAATAAGGAGGAGTCTTTAATAAGCATGAGGCAACTTTGTGAACTGTTTGGAGCATCTCAACATGCCCTTTTACTTTGGCAATTATAGACATGAAAAATGTTTTTCTAATATTTTCTAAGTCTCTGGATTGTTTTTTATATTTCCTAAAACTTTGTGTCTTCAAAGAAAATAAATCCTTTTTATCGCCTTTAGTTCTGTTTTTAAACCAATTTTATCTTAAGCCTTTCTAATTATTTCTTACATCGTTAACACCAGGAAATTATAATTTGCCCAAGAAAATAAACACAAATTTTTTATAAAACAGGTGTTGTCTTCCCCACTATTCCCCAGCCTCCAAACAATATTTTGTCATCTTTCGGAATGTTGTGAGAGTATTTAGCTTACTTCTGGGGTAGGTAGGCCTGATGTTAATCTGCAGGCTTTTATGCACCTGTAAAGCAGAAAATCTACCTACACAGATAGGTTCTTTGTAGCGGTAGACTGAAGACAATAGGAGCATTGAGAGACAATGAGGACATAAGCAGCACTAGCTACTGCTAAGAAATTCTTCTGTGATATACCTGGTGTTATGCTAAAAAAAAAAAAAGATAACATTATAAAAAATGCAACATTTTTTGAATGCCACTGAAGTTCTTCCCTTTTGAAGAAATATTTGACTATTTTTTAAAACTTACAGATTTTCTGATTTTAAAATACTTCAACATCTCTACCTTCATAAACCCAGTCAGTTATTCCATTACTGATTGCATCTTCTCTTCCATCATCTGTGACCCTCTGAGGTGGCGAATTTGGATCATTTTTAATATAAATATCATTGTTCCAAACATATGCCTAGAAAGATTAAAAATAATATTGACATATAATAACATGATATATTTTATCCTGAAGATCAAGAAAACATTTATCGATTCTTTTACTTAAAACAGTGTGCAAGTGTAATGGTTACTTTAGGTTATTCAATTTGGGCACAATGAAGAGTCATTTACTCCCTCCTCCTCATATTCTTAAATTATCAGCATAAAAGCTACAATCCCAATTAATTTTAAGAACACTCCTAATATATTAAAAAAGAAGAAGCTCACAAGCACCACTATTTGGAGCTAAAGTATATAAGAACACTTAGAAGACTGACCACTTCTATAGAATGATGTGTGCTTTGCATTTCTTTTTGGGGGAGGTGACTAAGGGAGTGCAGTACAGGTAAATATACCATTTTCTTGTTTAGATTCTTTGGGAATTTAACATCCTCTTAGTTCTATAGAACATGTAGATATATCTATAGTGATAAACACCCACACACAAACTATAACAACAGAAAAAAAAACCCACAAACACATAACAACATGTGCCGAAAACCCCCAAACAACCCAAAAGCACAATAGATATTAGAATTTAAAAACTTACTGAACATTTTCCCATTAAATAAACAATTTCCTAAGAGTATTTTAGAGACTTTCAGGAATAGTGTTTACTATGAAAGACTAGTAAAATATCATTTTAGGCAATAATACTATATTTGATATTAAAGTTTTGGCTTCCTAATGTCTACTCTGCATCAAGATTACCAGCTTCTGCACATGAGAGACTTGAGCCATTATTTTTCAGATAGAAAAAAAAAGACTCACTAACCAATTTATGACCCTCTGGTGACCAACTGATCAGTTGTGTGTCATTTGGAATTCTTTCTTCTGTTATCAGCTGCCTGGAAAAAAGGTAAAAGGAAATAACTACCAAACGAATAAATCACAGTCCTTTTTTTAAAAAAATTATTACCCTAAAAAAGCATAATATGTTTTCTGAGGAAGTCACTGACCTTTTATTTAAGTCATAAATGTCATATGAAGCTGTGTAGGAATGTCTCCATTTCTATGAAAGAAAATAGACATCTCAGGCTTCTGTGATTCTGGAGAGTTTTTCCACTTGCTATAGGAACTCTAGCTGACAAAGTAATAAAACGTATAATCCTCAAATTTTATCTCTTTATATTCTTAGAATTTTTGGAATCTTAAAGACTATCTAGTCCAAACTCCTCTGGATTTCATCTATAAGCTAATTTTAACACCACCTCGACCAAGCGGCCTTCCTAGGACCTCAACGGGCTGAAGTGCCACTTCCTGTGCAAACATTTTTCTTAGCACTAATCACAGTATGTTGAGAAGAATGCAGATTTTCACTTTTCAACCATTTTACTAGCAAAATATTTAAAATATCTATACGTCTAGCCCGGCCAGCATGGCTCAGTGGTTGAGCGTCGACCTATGAATCAGGAAGTCATGGTTTGATTTCGGTCAGGGCTTATGACTGGGTTGTGGGCTCACTCCCCAGTGTGAGCTGTGCAGGAGGCAGCCAATCAATCATTCTTTCTCATCACTGATGTTTCTATCTCTCTCTCCCTCTCCTTTCCTCTCTGAAATCAATAAAAATATTTTAAAATAATTTATACTTCGATTGCTGGAGGTGATGTGGAAGAAATGTTTATGTTCCTACACTGACCATAAAAATATAAAGTATTATAGATATTTTGAAAGTCACTTACCAATATATATTAAAATTGAAATGCACATACTATTCATATTTTAAACAACCCACTCAAGAAGCTCAAAAATTAAAAACAAACCAAATCTAAAGAAATCAGAAGAAAAGTAATAATAAAGGTAAAAGCAGTAATCAAATTAAAAAAAATCAAAGTCAAAAATTGGTTCTTTAAAAGATTTTTAAAAATGCTAACATAGTAAGTATGAGAGAAAAAAGGTATGAATGACCAATATCAAAATGGAAAATGATATACTGCAACAGTCTACAGACATTACAAGATTATAAGACCCTACTACAAACATTTTTTGCTAATAAATTTTAAGTTAGAAAAAGGGAAAATTCTTCAGAAAACAAGTTATCAAAAATAAGACAAGAAAAAATGAAAAAATCTGAAGTAAAAACTGAAAAAGACAAGATAAATATATATATGATTACAGATTCATATTTATGAAAAAAATGTTTATATGTGGATGAAAATGTAAAATTAAAGAAGTATTTATCTGAATGTCCATCTTCCTTACCATATTCCTAGAGGGGAAAAAATGTGTTCTATTCACCTTTAAAATACTAGAGCTTGGTCTAGTCACAGGTTGAAAATCACTAGCAGGGTCACCTAAGACTATTGGAAAACACAGATATTTACATTACAATTCATAACAGTAGCAAAATTACAGTTATGAAGTAGCAACAAAAATAATTTGTGGTTGGGGGTCACCACAACATGAGAAACTGTATTAAAGGGTCACGGCATTAGAAAGGTTGAGAAGCCACTGGTCTAGTGGAACCACATAGTATGTATTCAAGAAGGAAACACAACTAAAAGAAAGTCAGATTTTATCTTTAAGGATGAAATAAGTTACCCAAGAACCCAGCTGTATATGGCAGAGCTGAGACTCAAGCCAGAGTTCCTAACCTTGAATATTATTTCCCTCTTATCATTTATCACCCCCTAGCCTCTTATGTCAACAAATATTTATTAAGTCTCTACTTTTTGCAAGTTCTACATTCCTTTTTAAATCCTGGATTAATTTGACACACCCCAGGCTTCTTTCTGGGAAACCTCTGAGTATAATACTTGCTAGAGCCAAAGGTATGATGCAGGCTAACAACACAGAGATTTAAGAAGGCTTGAGATCATTTCAGGATGACAGATCCATCCCAGATTTTGAAAGGGACACCCAACATATTTGGAATGTTCACTTCATCTATTGGAACAGACTCATCTATTTAGGATATAAACATTGGCAACCATCCCCCGTGAAGCATTATTAGATAAAACAGGCTCCCTCTCTCTGAAGAGTTCATAGTCGAATGGGGGACATGAACAAGTGAATACAAGAAAAGAATCACAGGAGCTTCCATGGAGATGGGTGGGGAGAGGCAGAAATCATAAATTGGGCCTTGGGGAGAGAAAAAGCACTACGGAAAGGTGATTCTTGGACAGAGTTTCAGTGGCAGGGGACATTCACACAGAGACGAGGTAAATAAAAGCATTGTAGCAGAGAAAAATTGAAGCACAGATAGGAAAGATCATGGAGTCTTCTAATCTGGACTCAAGTCTTGCTATAGACTGAATATTTATACCTCCTATCCTAAATCATATGTTGAAGTCCCCAATGTGATGATATTTGGAGGTGGGGCCTTTGAATGGTGACTAAAATTAGCTCAAGAGAACTACATTAGTTCCCTTATAACAGACTCCAGAGAGATTATTTTCCCTGACTACCATATGAGGATACCCAGAGAAGATGGCCAGTTATGATCAAGAAAGCAGCACCTCACGAGACACTGAATCTGCCAGCATCTAGATTTTGACTTCTCAGTGAGAAATAAATTTCTCTGATTAAGCCATCCAGTCTATGGTATTCTGTTACAGCCACTTGAATGGACTAAAAGAAATCTCTAAGGTTTAAGAGCAGACAAGTTTCTCCCTAAGCTTCAATTTTCTCTTCATGAAAATGTCCATAATTACAACAATAATCTCATGTGTATGAGAATGCATGTGACGTGCTCAGCAGGGCTCCTGGAATTGTCAATGTATGATAGATGAGGCTGCTGTTTCTAGCACATTGGGCAATGGGTAAAGATGGTAGGAGAACATCCATACCAGGTTGTATGGTATTTATTTATGTATTCGCTTAATGTTTATAGCTATGTAGGAGTGATCATTACTTTTAAAAAATATCTTAGAACTAATAACTGATCTTTCTGAAGGGAAGGAGAGGAGAGGAGAGAAGAGGAGAGGAGAGAAGAGGAGAGGAGGAGAGAGGAGGGGAGGGGAGGGGAGGGGAGGGGACAGCAGAGGAAAGGAGAGGAGGGGAGGGGAGGGGAGGGGAGGGGAGGGGAGGGGAGGGGAGGGGAGGGGAGGGGAGGGGAGGGGAGGGGAGGGAGGGGAGGAGAGAGGACTAATTCAGTCATTGAGAAGCCATGGAGTAGGATATAAAGAACACTTCATAGCAGACCTTCCAAGGAAATGGAATAACATTAGACTAATTTTTGTTGTTGTTCTGGATAGATTCCTTGAGCATTGATTAGTCACAGAAAATTCTTTTGCATACTCTGGGAAGTAAAATAGAAGATATAGTTCTCTATTTTTAATAATCTTATACTTTAGTATTTTGCAATAAATTTATGAAGGAAGTAAAATAAGTTAAGATGTTAGAGAGTAAATGGTGCATTGTGGGGAAACAGAGTGACAGAGGGCAATGTTAGACAGGATGATCCAAACTAGCCTGCACCTGAATTAGTAAAAAGGGAGAGCCAGTTGATGATTGGGCAAAGAAAGTTCCAGAAGAAAGCAATTGCAAGTGCATTGGCCCATAGGTAGAAATGAAAGTAAAGTTTTATTTAAGTAAAAAGCTGTGTATTTAAAGGTTCTTAACTTTGGATCATTGGGTCATCTGGGAGTCCTTAAATCTATCTATGCCTGGGCCCACCCTTGGGTATGTGGAGCTCATTGGTGAGGGGTAAGTTGCATGCATTTGTATTTTTAAAAACCTCCAAGGTCATTCTAAGGGGTATACAGGAGGAGAAGCATTGGCCAACCATGCTGAATGCAGAAAGAGTGGTAGGAGATGGGGTCTGACGGGCAGAATGGAGTTCAATCACACAGGCTTCTGAGGATGCTGTGTTAGTGTTTGAGCTACACTGAAGGTGATTGGAAGCCAACTACAATGAGGATGTAAGCATAAGTATGCCATATTCTGACTTAAAGGGAACTCTTTGGACACTGCCTGAAAAGCATGGATGGCAGGAGGAAGGAACAGAGTGAAAATAGCAAAAGCAGTTAAATATACATATATATTCCAGTAACATGACAAATACAAATTACCAAAGAGGGTTGTCCAGCTAAGGTTCACCAGGGAATACATTCATGAGTGCACTCCAAATTGCACCTGCTCAACTTGGCTACATAGTAAACTGAGGTGGCAGTTACTATTCCATTTCTATCTTAACCTCACAGGCTTTATAAGTTAGTCTTTAACATGGACTAATGTTATTCAGTGGTTCTCAGCCTTGGTTGCCGATAAGGATTTTCTACAGATTGAAAACAATAATAGTGATGCTGGCTTTACTCTAGAGACTTCAATTCATTGATCTGAGGATTTAACTTGGACACTGAGAATTTTGTAAAACTCAAGTGATTTAATACATAGACAGCAGTACGAACCACTGAATTAAACAAACAATAACCCATTAATAGGGAACAGATGTGCTAAAGTTGGCATAGGATTCTGATTTGCTCATAGTTGATAAGTTTAGCAAAACACAGTCATCTAATCTTCATGTCCAGGAAATGGAGCCCAGCACAGTGAATCCAGGGTAAATATTATGATTGGGAGTCACTGTCCCAAATTAGGAAATGGAATATGGGATGGTTTGCTTGGCCCTAGTATAGCAGCATTGGTGTTTGAGATAAGGTATTTATATTAATATTTATCATTTATTCTAGAAAACAAGCAGAGGTAGGGATCCCCAGCTGGGTATTTCTTTTCAATGCAGGATATCTCTCTACAGGTTTTTAGTTTTTCTTATGTCTCACAACTTCCTATATTCCCCATATTGTAGTTAAATCCACGAATAACTAAAAAGCTGCGGTTAAAGTTACTGGTGTTTTGCAGCCATCCCAAAGATGAAGAGGATGTATGATCAAACTGTAACCTTTCCATGATTGTGGGAGAATTTGACATGGAACTGGATGACTGGGAGAAGCTGAGTGTTCTTACAGGGATGGGGCTCCCCTTTAGAATGGGATGTATATGGTGGGATAGGCATGCTGGGGAGTGGTCTGGGTCACCTTGCAGAGTCCCTTCTGAAGAAAGAGAAATTTAATTTTTAAAATACTTTTATTGATTTTTTTACACAGAGAAAAGGAGAGGGATAGAGAAACATTGATCAGTTGCCTCCTCTAGACTCCCTACCAGGGAAGTGCCCTCAACCAAGGTACTTGTCCTTGACCGGAATTGAATCTGGGATCCTTCAGTCCATAGGCAGACACTCTATCTACCGAGTAAAACCAGTTAGGACAAGTTTAATTTTTTTCAAAGCAAATACTTACATGTAAAGCTGAGACAAAGAAAATAAGGGGTTATATTACTGGATGTTCAAGTCAGACATGCTAACTTGCTTTTCAATTATAAGTTCTATTTTGTTATATTTTTAGTCTCTATATTATAGTACTTATACTTTTTAGTATTTGAAAGCACTCAAATAAATGTCTTTTAAAACATGTTTTGCACTTATGAACGAGAAGCATTTCTCCTCTTCATGCTAAATTAATGTACCTGCTATATTAGTAGGTATCAATTTTAAATGTACATATCCTGGAAATCAGTTATAATATAACATACTCTTAGGATTCTTTAAATGTCACAATAAGAAAACATTTTTTACCTTCACGTAGTTGTACTCTAAGAGAACAAACCGTCTATCAGGAGACACTGAATAATCATTTATAGAATATCCAAATTGATCCTGTCAATCAAGTAGAAAAAAAAGAACAATTAAACAATCTTATTTAACTGCCATTTATTGAGCACTATGTAGAGGGTATCACTCTAGATATGTGGCTTGTGCCTTGGGAGCTTCCAATCTGGGAAAGATGGCACATTCCCCCACATGAATGACCATGATGAAAGGTGGATGGTTATCAGGGTTAGAGAACCAGGGAGGGAAGGATTAATTTTAACCACGAAAAGGCAGCTGTGAGGGTGAGGGTCAGAGACAGAGAACTTTCTTGGTAGGGGGGGAACAGCATTAGCAAAAAGGGTATGCATATTTAAAGACTGTCTAAAGGTTAGGTGTAACCTGAATACATTATATGGTATATCAGACGAAGATATAAGCTAAGAGGACATAAAATTCTAAAAATGGGACTTAAATATAAGAAGCAGAAATATGACTATTTTTGCATATGGATTTGCTAGAATCTTATCTGTTTTTTACAAAGGTGCTCTGGTGACACAGTAACTGAGATGAGATGAGAGAGATTGCCTCAGCTCTGGATGTGGGCAATGCAATGATCTGGTCTACGGTATGGAGATAGAGACACAAATTAGAATACTCACTATCACAAGGTGAAACAAACCTTGAACCTGGACTCTACAGTGAAACTGAAGTCTGAGAGACACTTGAGAGGTTTTGTTGATTAGCTAAATATGGGGAGGAGTCAAGGAGGATTGACTTGTAAGAGAGCACTATTTACCAAGATAGGGAACTCAGGAAGAGGAACAGTTTGCTAGGAGAGTGAAGGGGAAATAACTAGCTTAGATTGGGATACTGAGTTTAAAATGCCTGCAGACCATTCATATGCAGAAGCAAGCAAGCAATTAGAAATAGAGGTTTAGATCATGAGAGGGGGTTAGTGTTAAAAGTGTATACTGGAGACTCAAGGCCAGAAAGAGAATGCTGAGGTTGTGGAAGGGCATGGAATTTACTGAAGAAGAGCATGCAAAGTGAGGAGAGGGGCCAGCAATTGAAGACAGAGTCCAGAGGACACTTACATTTAGGAGTATGGGCAGAGGAGGAGGAATCGTCAAAGGAGATTAAAAAGTAGCCAAGGCAGGGAACATTCCAAGAAGGAGAGAAAGATCCACTGTGCCATATGCTGCAGAGAGAGTCCAACAGCATGAAAAGATAGTACTTAGAATTTAAAAGGTTATGAAAAAAATCCCCAGAATTTCCTTAAAGTCTGAATTAATTATGTGATTAAACATACAAATGTACTGTTCTCCAAGAAAGTGGAGCTGTTTCCATGGTCAGCATTGAATAGCAAGATATTATTTTCTTGTCTGTAGAGATATTCGTGGTCTAAAGAGAAAAAATGACCAGATCAATATTTCAAGTTGCTATTAAACATCTTAGTAAGCTAAAAATTATGCAATAAAAATTTAAGATTCAAGTTTGTACAAATACTAAATAAGCATTTCTAAGTTTAAAAAAAAAACATTAAGCGATGACCATTACACAGGTATGCATTCACTTGTCCATCATTTTTGTGAAGGTTGCAATTCACATTTAACTTTTATTGTACATACCCAAGAAATAAGCTTTCTAGCTTAACTCCCTTTGCACCCTTAAGTAGAAAAAGATTTCCTCCTATATGGTTTTTTAAAAAGCAAGAATATCATCGTCTTAGTGCCAGAAAAGTGCTCCACAACCTAATTAGTATGAACATAAGCATAAAAATCTGCCTCCTCCCCCCAAAAAATCCTTACCTGAAATCCACCGCAAGTTGTAGTTCCTTGTTCTAATAGTACTTTTTAAATAATCACTTAGAGTGTAAGTCCTGCGAGTATCAGCATCATCTGTTGGTTGAAAAAGGAGCCAACTGTTTAGTAAAATGGAATAATCTAAGTTTTGCATAAAATAAACAAATGGATCTCTACAATATACTGGTTACAATATACAAAAATACACTCACAAAATGCAAAGCACTTCAAATTGGTTGGATGGAGTAAAAAATGCATTTAACCATTAAAATGTAAGTAAGTGTGTGTTTCACCATATATTAGTGACCTTCATTATGAAGGTCTAGATCAGTGATGTTCAATGAAAATATAATGTAAGTACACTTTCTAGTGAGCCTTATTAAAAAATTTTAACATAGCCGAAACTGGTTTGGCTCAGTGGATAGAGCATCGGTCTGCAGACTGAAAGGTCCCAGGTTCGATTCCAGTCAGAAGCATGTACCTTGGTTGCAGGCACATCCCCAGTAGGGGGTGTGCAGGAGGCAGCTGATCAATGTTTCTAGCTCTCTATCACTCTCCTTTCTTCTCTGTAAAAAAATCAATAAAATATATTTTTTTAAAAATAAAGTAAAAAATAAAAATTTTAACATGAAATTAATTTTAATAGCATCTTTTATTTAACCCAATATATCCAAAATATCACTATTTCAATGTGTCACCAATATTTAAGTGCTGTTACTGGGGTCTTTAAAATTCTTTTTTTAATGCTACATCTTTGAAATCCGGTATATATTTTTACGATTACAGCATATACTAGTTTGACTAGGCCAATTCCCACTCAATAGCTGCCTGTGGCCATGGAGTAGACAACAGAAGTCTAGATCATCCTTTCCTAAGGCCCCGAGGCTCTCTCCCAAGCCCTCTCCCAATGCACAGACCTCTAAGACATGCTCATTACCCGATTCAGGGATCTTTGTTTGCATGGTCACTTTTCCTTAACTTGGTGGAAGTTTTCATGAAACCTCGCCCTTGATTCTGTAACTCTTCAGCTGTCCTAACTCACTGACCATTATTTTTTCTTTCTCCTATTTTGACTCTATTTTTTTTTCTCCATTGACCTCTAAGACAGAAATGCTTTGATATTCAGCCTTCAGCTTTCTGTGCTTCTCTCTATATATTATTCCTTCCTTATAGAGAATAATATATAGACTTCCTGAACTTTAGGCATATTTTCCATTTAAATAAATGACAAAATCTGTAGTCATTACCACACTCCAAATATGTTTCCCATGATGTGTTGGAGTTTCTTAGTTGACTCGTCCCCTGCTTAATCCTATATCTACCTTATGTAAAAGTATTGTTTTCCTTCCAAAACTAGTTTTCTCTCGAGAATTTATGTGGTTTTAAGTTTTTCACTGGTGACCCAAATTCAAAGTATGAACATCATTGTTGATGTCTCCCTCTCTTTTACCATTATCCCCATCCAAACAATCCTCTAAAATCTTCCTGCGAAATCTTTTTTTCTCAGGTATCCTTGGCATACATAGGTCTCTCTCTAATCCAATCCCTTCATTGCACAGCCACTACAATGGTTTTTCTAAAATATGACTTTTCTCCTGGTCATCTCTTCCTCACAATCTTTCAATGATTGGCCACTGCCTGCAGGAAGATTCAGACTCCTCAGCCTGGTATTTGTGGCCTCCACAATCTAACATGAGACTCCCTTTCCAACCTCATCTCCACTCTGTCCTGTATGTACCTTAGCCACACTGATCTGCCTACTGAACCCAACAGATTTTCAGAGGCTTTTCTGCCTCTGTTTCTTGTCCAGAGCCACTTTCCTGCAATGTCTTCAACTGCTTCCCTGGCTGTCACAAGGCTCCACCCTCCAATCCCCACTTCTCGGAAACTTCAATTCTAACTTCTCTGACTTTTGCCCCACACTGATCACTTGGCTCTTGTAACAATAACCTGTACTGATAACTGCTTTTTTTCCAGGCCTACCAGCCTACCTGTGTGGTCTACACAGATAGGCCATGTAGGGCTTTATTTATTTTATTTATTTATTTATTTATTTATTTATTGCATCAGTCTTAGCTCCTAGCACAGTTCTATGCCATAGTAAGTAGGCACACACAAAAAGTTTTTGTTTTTTGAGTGACATAGGATATCTTCCAACAAGCATAGTCAAGACAATGTGATTCTTCTTTCTCAATCCCAGATCTTCCACTGATGCCAAACAGCCTAAAGTCTTTTCTCCTAAATTCTCTACTGCTTCCACAAGCAAGCAAACATATACTTACAAAATCAGCCACCATCATAATGTTCCTACAGTGGCAATTCTTATTCTTTGGGGATTGTAAAGCTAGCAATAACTTCTCTAGTTAATTTTTTACAGCCTGTGGAAATGTTATTCTCTTATAGGAAATCCTCTTTCAAAATATATTCTTAAGACTTTATTTCTTTTTATCTTATCACAGTCTTGATTCTGCCTATAAAAGCTTTAGTTTTAAGTAGAAAGAGCTGCCACACTTCTGCTTTATTATTTCATGGATTTAAACCCAGTTTATTAATTAAGTAAAAGAAGTTTATTTTTTTTAAATATATTTTATTGATTTTTTACAGAGAGAAGGAAAGAGGGATAGAGAGCTAGAAATGTCGATGAGAGAGAAACATCGACCAGCTGCCTCTTGCACACCCCCTACCGGGGATGTACATGCCCTTGACCGGAATCGAACCTGGGACCCCTCAGTCCGCAGACCGACGCTCTACCACTGAGCCAAACCGGTTTCGGTGAGGTTTATTTTTTTTAAAAACCACCCTCCCCCCCCCCCCTTTTTTTTTTTTTTCAAAATCAGGATTGTATTTCACCTCTGAAAGTTAGTAAGATATTTCTGTTTATAAGCAGAAATAGAGCAAATGAATAAAACCAGCCTTTGGATTTGTTAACATTCAAACAAGAATAAAGCTTCGGGCCACAGAAAATATTATGTGAAACTTATATTGGACTATAAAATACAAGTCTATATTTGTCCACTAAATGCCCTCAGTTGTTTGTACTCATTCACTCAGTCTTTCATACATCAAATAGCTAGGAAGTGAGTAATAAAAATACCGTTGAAGAATATATAACCTGCTACCAAGAGATATTAGTTTAAAATATATATAAGGCACAACCCTAAATTAGTATAAATCAAGATATATGATTATAGACATTCGCAGTCCTAATATTATCTGCTAATGCTTATATCTAGATACACCTATACATAGAGCCTACCTCACTTTTTTACATATATAGCAATGGACTGAATGTGTCCCACAAAAATTCATATGTTGAAGTCTAAACCCCAATGTGATGGTGTCCGGAGATGGGGCCTATGGAGGTGACTAGGTCATGAGGGTGGAATCCTCATGAATGGAATTAGTGTCCTTAGAAAAGTGACTCCACCATGTGATGACACAGGAAACGGGCCCTCACTAGACACCAGACACTGAATCTGCCAGTGCCTTAGACTTCCCCATCTCTAGAACTATGAGAAATAAATGTTTGTTGTTTAAGTCACCTAGACTATGTTAAGCTGATACAGCAGCCCGAATAGACTAAGCTGCATCCTATATAATACAGTAAAAGGCTAATATACAAATCCACTGAATGGCAGAACAACCTACTGCCATGATGTGCACTGACCAACAGAGGGCAGACATTCAATGCACGAACTCCTCTCAGGGGAGCTCTGCTCAGCCAGAAGCCCTGAGCAAGGCGCATAGCTGGCTAGCACAGTGGTGGTGGCCTCTCCACCTCCACAGCAGTTGGACATCCCCCGAGGGCTCCTGGACTGCCAGAGGGCACAGGCCGGGCTGAGGGACACCACCCCCCGCACCCACTCCCCACTGCCCCTGAGTACACAAATTTCATGCACTGGGCCTCTAGTATATAAAAAGCAGACATATCCCCACAGAACATCTATCACAGATACTTGGTTTTGTAAGAAGAGAATGAACTGAGTATCTCTAATTAGATTACACACTGTATTTACCCAGGCTTCCCAGAATAATACAATTACATCTGAAATACTGTTAAATGAGGTAAAATTCCCTGTGCTGTCCCCTGCTGTCCAGAGTGCTGCTCTTCACATTCACTGAGCACTTACTTGCCCTCCTCAGACACTGCTGGGCTCATTTCCTTTGGGCTATAGCTTTTCTAAAGCCATCCTCTCCACCATGCTCAGCCTCCTTTCTGCTCATAATGGGCCCAGCGTGATTTTTGACCCATCTGCTCATGTTCCAGATATCAACATTGATGCCACACTCTTGCGATGGCCCTTGACACTCATACCAGGCTCAGGGCCCCCTTGTTCTGTGTTGGTTCACTCAGATCCTTTACAATGACCCTGCGAGTCAGTTTCCATATCCTGGCTACCCAGCCCAGAACAGTGCTTCTAAATTGGAGCAAGTAGAGCAACAAATGTTCCTTGTTTTTTGCCTTGCCATTTGATAAGCAGTGTGCATTGGAAGACACGTTTGAAACATCTAGCTAAGCGAGTTCTGTGAGATGTGAGTGCCAAGTCCAGGTTTTGACCTTTAGAAAGTTCACAGCTTGCTGCCAAGTTACAACCTATTCTGTCAAACAGAGGACATGCCCACGTCTCTCCTTCCTGTCTACTTGCTCACTGACAGGGCGCTGCTGCGGCAACAGATGAAGGGGTTTGGCTGCTTGTGTGGTTTTCCTGGTGGGCCTGGGACATGTCGTTCATTTGACTTATCAGTTCAAAGCACTGTGCTAGCCAAGTAGAGCAGTTAATCATATGTTATCCGTCAGCATATAAACTCTCAGATTCACATTAAAAATAATTTAAATTTTCTTCAATTTAAATATTAAAAAAGGTTTAACAATTTTCTATCCTACTTTGATGAGAGCGATCATTAGGTTGAACCATATGAAAATGCCATTTTTATCAGTCAAAATTGGTAGAGTAGAAGCTTCTCAAATGGTTCAGCCTGCCCTGGATGGTTTGGCTCAGTGGATAGAATGTCAGCCTGCAGACTGAAAGGTTCCAGACTTGATTTCAAAGTCAAGGGAGAGGGACAGAGAGCTAGAAACATCGATGAGAGAGGAA